TCTTATGCCTAGCCTAACTCAAATACACTCCAGCAGTACAAGCCCCTCCTATCATGAATTACATCTGTGTAAATGAAGCCCACACAGGAGGAAGAAGAAAGCCTGGTAAGAAATTCTTCAAAATATAAACTGAAAACAAATATATTTATAAATAGTTTCATCTGATGGTGAGTACCCACACTATCTTTTTAAGAATAGGCTCATATAATCATACTTCTGCTTGTGCTGTGGCATGAAGCAGTATTTTGTGCATATGATTGAGGGCAGGAGGATGTTGGGATGTGTCAGTATGCTACTAAAGAATTTATACTATACACGGATAGTATAAAAAGAATGATGCTGAGCAATAAAGATAGCACAGTAGTCAATGTTCAGAATTCCTGAAAGGACTTAAGAAGTAACACAAACACATAAAAATACTTTAACATGTATTTATTGAGGTACAGTTGGTATAGAAAGAACTGTACCTATTTAATATATATAGTTTGATGAGTTTAGACATATGCAAACACCTATGTTTCTAAGAGTACAAACAAGGTAAGAGACATAACCAAACCTCTCAGAGTTTCTTTGTGGGCCTTTGTTTTCGTTTGTTCCACTTTTTTTGGGGGGGGGGGGGCGGCAGGGAGGTAAGAACACTTAACATGAGATTTACCTTCTTCACAAATTTGTGAAGTGCAACATACCCTATTATGAAGTGTAGGCACTGTGCTACATGGCAGATTTCTATAGCTTATTCATCTAACATAACTGAAACGATACCCTCTGATAAACAAGTCCCCAGTTTCCTACTCCATCCCCCCAACCCCGACCCTGGCAATTCTGTTTCCCGCTTCTACGAGTTTGACTATTTTAGAGACTTCAAATAGTGGAATCGTGCAGTATTTGTCCTTTTGTGACTGGCTTTTTCACTTAGCATCATGTCCTGCAGGTTCTTCGGTGTGTTCACTGATGGCAGCATTTTCATCTTTCTTAAGGTTGAATAATATCCCACTGTATGTATAGACCACCTTTTCTTGAAGCACTTGATGGACCCTTGGGATGTTTCTATATCTTGGCTTTTGTAAACAGTGTTGCAATATACATGGGAGTGCAGATATCTCTTCAAGATCCTGCTTTCAATATTTTTATATATAGCCAGAAGTGGGATTTTTGGATCATATGGTAGTTATAATTTTAATATCTTGTGTAATCTTCATACTGCTTTCCATAGCTTTGACATAATTTTACATTCCCACCAACAGTGTACAATGGTTCCAATTTCTGTGTAAACTTGACACTTATCTTAAAATTTATTCATGTTTTTATTAGTTTCCCTCAGCATAACAAACATCTTTGAATTGTTTCAGCAGAACAACAATCTGAATATAAAAGTATTATTAATTCAACAAAAAATTGAAAATGAGGCAGGAATGATGGCAATCCAAGTTGTTCAGGGCCAAAGCATCTGAAAAAATGTGATCTACAAATTAGGAGGTAGACTATGAGTCCATTGAATTTGAAGGTCAAAACAGAGATTGGAAAACAGAACATTAATAGTGTTTGTTGGTTGTTAATGTAGATTCAACAAGATTTTAAAAGACTACAAAATCGGCCATTTGGAAACAGAAATAAGAGAGAAAATCAAGACATGTGGGGCTTTTGGAGATGGAAAAGAAACTGCTTCTCTATTGCACATAATGAAAGAGAAGATTTTGAAAAAGCTTTGAGAGACATGTGTCAGGAAACTCTCATGTAATTAAGCCCCAGGGCAAAGAGGAGATGAAGTATGTGACAAGGAAATCCTCTTGATTGGCTAAAAAGTGTCTCAGCAAATGGAACAGGTAAGGTATACCCCAAACTCAAAATTGCTCTGAATCAATGATTGCTGCATGGCTTCTACTCTTCTACTTCCTGAATAGAAACGTTTGTTGTGGTCGTCTTGTCTTTATGCTAGCATTTAATATTCTTTATGTGAAGGACACACCCAGTCAAGAATATCCACAACCAACCCTGTTGGAGAAATTGTTTCATACCACACAGTGACATTAGACTCTGATTCAGTAACTGGAGAGGATACTGTGTTTTATCCTTTGAGGGAGGCCTTGAATTTTTTCTATATATTAAAGGAAAGGAATAAAACAATATTTGATGACTACAAAAGCAGTCTGTGGTAGGGCACTTAAGGTAAGCGTGGTAGGGTTATCAGACTAAGTCTGGCCAAAGGGATATGGGTGGGAATGGCATATCTCACCACTAGATCTGATCATAAAACTTCTGTGGAGCCCTGTAGCTTTCTCATTGGTGACTTTGAAGAACACATGTTGACATGATGCAACCAACATATAAATAGCCCAAAGGCACTGCATGGAGAACAGGGATCTGGAGAATAGTGTGAGTGAGATGCTAAATCTACGCTTAAGGAATTATGCTAAGTGAAATAAGATGGTGAAAGATAAATACTGAATGATCTCACTTATATGCAGAATATTAAAAAACCAAACTCATGATACAGAGAACAGACTAGCATTTGTCAGCATCTCAGGTGGGGATAGGTTAAAGGGTGAAGGGGGTCAAAATGTATAAACTTCCGTTTACCAGATGAACAAGTTTATGGCTGTAAAGTACAGCACTGCGAGCACTGTTAACCATTCTGTATCGTATATTTGAAAGTTGCTCAGAGATGAGCTCTTAAAAGTTCTCATCACAAGATAAAAAAGAACTATGTGAGGTGATGGACATTAACTAAACTTATTGTGGTAATCATTTTTTCAATATATACTTAAATCATTTTCTTTTATATTTTAAACTAAAACAATGTTACATATCAATAAATGTTTTTTAGAACTTTCATGATTTCAGGGTTTATTTGTTAACACATCACAGTCCATCTTTTCTGACATTTGTAGAAATTGATATGAGAAATGAGGTGCCTAGCTTTCCTGGGCGATTCAGTGGTGGGGGACAGGAGAAACTACTGTTGAAGACTTAGCCAACAGTTAGCATTTCTGCTTTCGGCCAAGATGGAGTAAGTTTACTACTTGAGACACTAAGAATAAAATACATATGTGAGAAAGCAATACGCATGAAATCAGGCAACAAGGACCAGTGATCCCTGAGAGGAGGGAAACCAACAAGGTGAGTCCTGTGAGTTTGTTAGCCTACTGCCTCGAGAGAATGCTCAGGCCATAATGCCACAAGGCAGAGGCCTGCACAGAGGCAGAGCTCCAAAGATGAGTATTTAGCAGGGTACTGACTAAGATACACATATGAAGAACATATTCAAGGCCAGGGAATGAGTCACTCAGAAGGACAGGAGAGCATATTACCTAATGTTTACACAGTACCAGGAATATTGCCTCTTATCACTGTTGAGATTGGAAAACTTCATAATCTTGGGAATTGTGTAAAGTACTCAGAAAGATCTCTCCTTAATAGAGGGAGACTCAACCACCACTTTTTTCCTGACTTACAAATTTTAAAGACAAGACTCAAGTGGATCAAAATGCCACGTAACATAAATCCATGCCAGAAAAAAGTCAAGAATATTTATAGAAATACAAAAATAACCATTACCCAACAAGCTAAAATGGAAAGAATCAGGTATCTGATAAAAGGTTATCTGCATGTAAGGATGCCTGATAATACTATAAAAAATAAGGAGAAAGGCCTTGGTCAGGTAGCTCAGTCGGTTAGAGTATTGTTCTGATGTGCCAAAGTTACAGGTTTCCTGGTCAGGGCACTTACAGGAATCAACCAATGAATGCATGAATAAGTAGAACAACAAATCAATGTTTCTCTCCCTCCAATCAATAAATTAAAAAAAAAATAGTGAGGAGAAAAACCAAATGAATGGAAGTTGAGCCAGAATTAGCATATTGTTAAAATGAGTAGACTAAGCAAGAGTGAGAAATTTTTTTTTTTTACTTGAAAAGAGCATCAGTGGGTTGTGAGATAACTTCAAATTGTATCATTAATATACTTGTCATTGGACTCTTTAATATTTGAGCGGACAATGGCTAAAATTTTTCTAATTTGTTCAATCCTGCAGATCAACGAAGCATAGTGCATAGTGACCCCCAGAAATATGAACAATACTACACCAAGGCACATCATAATCAAATTGCTCAATACCAAGGATAAAGCCATTTCTTAAAAGCAGCCAGAGGAAAAATACATGTAATGTGCATGGGAACCAAGAAAATGATCCAGCAGAGTTCTCATCACGAACAATGTGTGGGGACACAGAAGTTAGTTAGGGCATTATCTTTGAAGTTCAACCTAGAATTCTGTGTCTAATGATGATATGTGTCATAAATTGAGAAATAAACTCACAGACATAAAAAGTTGATAGGATTAATTACCAACAGACCTACAGTATGAGAAATATTAATGTCCTTTAGACAGAAGAAAAATGATACAAGGTGGGAATATGGATCTGCAAAAAAAAAAAAGAAAAAAGAAAAAGAAAAGCACCAGATCATTAATGGGAAGGGTTCGAGTAACAAAAATGATTGCATGTTTACAAAGTCAAACTATGAAACAAAGTAAATTCAAAGAAGGCTCGTGTTTCTTCCAACTTATTCCTTTCTTCCCTCTCTTCTGCAGCTAGCTGTGTAAATTTCGATTAATTTACATTTATCTTTTCATTGTTTCTTTTGGAAAATATAGTATATGTTTATGTAGAACGTGTGTATATACATGGGTGGACAAAAGTAGGCTTACATTGTAATACGAAGTAATAATACACTAATTAATAAACAAAATACAAGAATAAGCTCTGTTTCAGGTCCTCATAACTGTAAGCCTAATTCTGCCCTACCCTGTATGTAAATCTAGGCAAAGAACAGCTTCAAGATTTCCTTTCTCATTCCCTTCTATCACCACCCTGCAGGAGACAACCGGCCAAGGTGTGACTTTTAACTGCATGCTGAAAGTCCAGACTGAATTCATACAAGTGCGTCCATAAAATTAATCACCAAGATACTTTCGGATGATCCCAGCCCGGTTTTTTTTCTCACCATGTATTTCATGTTGGCCGCAGGGGGCTGGACTTGGCGCCGCAATTCATTGTGAGCATCAACACACTGGTCTATGAAACTCTTGTCTTTGATGGAAGGGACGCTGAACCGCTTACTGGTTACCAGACAGAAACCTAAGGTCCATAAGCAACTCAATTTATTCCACAGAACCATGGCAAGATGTAGAGGATGCTCTGGCTGCGGGGACTCCTAACGGCTCAGACAGCTATTCCTTGGGGAGCCTGGGAACTACATTCTCTGGGGGTTCCATCCTCCTGCGCAGAGGCGGTCGCGGGGATGCGCAGCAAACTGGGCCCCAGGGGCGGGGCCAGGACGGAGGCCGAACAGGCAGCAGGAGTCGCTGGCCAGAATCCCCTGGGCTGCAGAAGAAAGCCTTGAGTTGCCCTCTGGTACAGAGTTTAAACCTTCCTGAAGGCGCTTTCTGTGGACCTAATCTGGAATCACTGCTAAAGGCGCCTGGATTGTAATCTAGATTGTAACATGCAGGCAGCACCGTGTTATGTAAAAGAAGGACATGTGTTAGATGCTGACAATGGACCAGACCCGTGCAAAATCCTGAATGTGAGTTTGATAGACTCAGCTTCTGTGTTTTGCTCATCGTATTGCTTGTTTCCTCAGAGACTGGGACTAAAGCAAGCATATACTGGATAGTGTGATTCTAAATTATTTTGTCAAAATTTTAATAATTTTATAATTTGCTTGTTTTCATACCTAAAGAGAATGACTTCCTAGAAAGGTAAAAATAGACACATGGAAAGTGTAGTGAAGTAATTTCTCTGGACAAAATCTCTTCTTCTTGATACTTAAGTTTGGAACACATCTATATTTTTGGTGACTAGGGAATTTCAGATAAAGGACTGATTTAGTTGGTATACTGAAGACTAGCTTAGAGTACATTTGATTGCTTATTTTACTTACATTGCAATATAAATCATCTTCATTTGGTTTCATGTTTTAAACCCATCATATCAGTAATATTATTGTTCAATAATAAATCAGCATTTTTTTCTGACATTAAATGACCTTTTTCATTGTTTCTGTGTTTTAAATAAATATCTTGATTTGATGATTTGAGGTTGTGTCCAATGCTATTTAATTTAAATGAGCACATATTCACATCTATGGATATTCTAATCAATTAAGCTTGCAACCAAAAAATCCCAAAACTTTGATGCAACTAGACCTTTGTTAATAAAAAGCAGAAAATTCAATGATAAAATGGGGGAAAATACAAGGATCCCAATGGAAATTCTACAGAGCAATAAATATTTTTGTTCTACTATCTGCTAATGGAGAATAGCAATGTATGTGACTTTAACATTACAGTCATAGTCCAAACTGAGCTTCTGCTGCTTCACATCCCAATCCTGATCTTTCCTGAATCTTCACTATCTTAGTTAATGGAAGCTCTATTTTACTTATTTATTTAATCGATTGCTCAGGCCTCAAACTTTTGCAAGTTTTGTTGGCTTTGTTCTTATATTTTTAGACCTTGACCAGTGTTCACCATTTAAAATGGCATCTCCTTGATTTATGGATAAATGCAATGGCTTCCTAGTGGATCTTCCTGCTCCCACTCTTAACTTCTGCATTTGCCCTGACTGGGAATCGAACCACTGACCTCTTAGAGCATGGATCCATGCTCAACCACTGAGCACCCTGTCTGCGCTCTATATCCATTCTTGCTTCATTACAATTTATATTCCATAGAACAGTCAGATGATCCCTTTAAAACATAAGCCTTGCTCTTTTCAAAACTCTCTTCCTTCCCATCACACTTATAAATCTGAAGTCCTAGGTATGGCCTGTAAAGCACTATATAACCTGACCATGGCTCATCTCTGCCGCAAACCTACGTTCTTCCCTGACTCACTCTGCTGCATCGACATCCACCAGTTTGACAAGAATGCTCTCTCCTCAGGCCTTTTGCCCTTGCTGTTCCCTTTGCCTTCAGAATTCTTCTCAGTAAAGCCATACCTGATCTCACCACATTTCCTACCTGCCAGTGTCTCTTCCATTAACCTGTTGCTACGCCACATCATATTATTTATTTATTTAATGTTTGTCACCTCTGTTAGATTGTATCTTGCACTAAAACACTAGCTCTATTTGCTTCACTGCTATATCTATAGCACCTAGATCAGGTACTGAAGCCACATGCCTCAGTAAAGTTTATTGAATGAGTTACTGAAGAAATGAACACCCTAACTTTCCCATAATGTTATATACAAATGTAAACTTCTTTGGAAACTGTATCTTGTTATATACATACTAGTGATTCAATATATATTTTATACTGAGTTTAAAAGATAATACTAGGTATGCTCACATAGTTTTATTTTTTATAACATTGGATATATTTTCATATAGTTGGTGTTCAATGAATGCTTGTTGAGCTTCAAATGCAAATTATTTTGATACTGAAAATAAAATAGGTTAACATATGGTAAATTTAATTTTATTGTGTGTATAGAGAAATTAATTGGCTGTAATAACGACATAACTTTGGTAAAATAATGAACTGTATTGAAGATTGGCAAAAAATATCATTTTTATATATTCAATGCATAACCCAAGATTATTGCTTTTATATAGATGTTTTAACACAATATCTGGGTTAGACAGATTTGTTTTATTTAGACCATGTTCCTAATGGCTTCGAGAACTATATTCAGAAATACTGAAGCAATTAGGTTTACTAGCCTAAGTGCCAGAAACAGACAAGGATATTTTATTTTCTTGAATATCTACTTGTGTCATGGACAACATTAGTTGGGCATTAGAATTAGAATCTTTGATAAATTTTTAAAAGTTGAAGTTCAGTGTTTGTTTCATTATTACTTTTTTCAGTTTACTTCTGCTTTTCTTTCTGTGTGGGGATAATGGGTAGATGAATTTTATGGAGTACAAGGAAGAAACAGAAGGAATGATTGCCTTATACCCATCACCTTCACTATTTTTATGCTTTAAAAATATATTTGTCTTTTTACACCAAAACTTGGTCCAACTGGAAATTTAAATGCCTATATTTTGAGGGGCGCCGTTTCTCGGTGCAATGCAATGAAACTACTAGCACACGGTGCATAGAGAGAGGGGGAGCTTTGCAAGGCAGCCCATTTATTTGCAGATTGGTTACAAGTGGATTTATGTAAATTATTTCCTTGAGATGGCATCTCTGTAAACTATACAGCCTAGTTTTGTCTCTTGCTTTTTTCTGGTGGAAAGAGACTTTGAAACTAAAAGATAACAAACACAGACATTCCTGAGTCCTAGGACCCATTAGTCCACCTATGCAAACCTTATCTTATTCACATGCAAATGAAGCACTCTATTGCACCTGGGCTGGCCAGATAGCAAGAATGCATTAACACAAAGTTCCAAATCGTTCATCTTCCAACCCCTCCACCCCTCCAGAGGGGAGCTAATTTTGGGAAGAGACTGCAGAGAAGAAATCTTGATTTTGTGGGAAGAGAACCGGATTAGGCTTCAGAAGATCTGAGTTCTAGTTGGGTATCTGACACTTGCCTGTGCAGTCCGGCAAAGCTGGGCATCTGAGAATGGAATGGAACTCTAGAAATATCTCAAACCGGGCTTTTTCTTTTATTAATGAGGAGTTGACACCCAAAGACATCACGTGCAGAGCAAAGTATGCAGTGGAGATTTCCTGATTCTTAGATCTGTTCCTATTAGTATTTTAATTTCTTATCAAATATATATAAGTGATCATTATAGTTGTGCATATGTACATACCTATTTAAAGAAATATTTATATCTATGCCTATACATCTCTCTCTAATTCTATACTGCAATACTTTCTTTTTAAATACTTGAAAGTTCCTTGAGAGCTTATGCTTAGAGATTTCCCCCATCAGAACATCATTCTGGGAGCTGACACCTGGTAGATGCCCTATAAAATGTGTTAAATACAATTTACTAAAGAATTATGCAACTGCCATGGATCCGGGCCGGGCTTTGGCCCTCTCCCTGCGCAGGAGAAGCACATGTGGGTGAGTCCGCTCCAGTTCCTCCCCGGGGTTTAGAGGCGTCGTGGAGCTGAACCCGGTTTGAGGCTCCGGAGGCTGCTACTAAGAGTTCCTTTTTTTCAGCAAGTCAGAGAGGGCGGCGGGTCGCTTTAGGCTCTGACCCTGGAGCAGGAGAAACGGCCCACACAGCTTGGGGCCGGGAGGTGGCCTGGACGCAGCTAGGGACTTGCGCCTAGACCTTCTTTACCCCGGAAGGGAGAGAAGGGTTGGAGGCCCAGCTGGACTTGCCTGTTGCCAGGCAACCTGCAAACGCAGATCTCAGTGGGCTGGAGCCTTTGCTGGGAACTGCCCCCTTTCTTTCTTGACCTGTCTGCAAACTGCCTCTAGAGGGTTCTTGGTGAAATCGCCCCAGCTTATACCTTTCCCAGCCTTCCCACTTTGGACCTGGTCTTTACCGAGCTTTGGATCAAATCAGTTTGGCTGTTCCTTGTGTGCTGTCCCAGTCCATGAACACCAGATAGGAAGAGAGTGGAGAATTCGTCCTGGTACATTGCAGGTACCACTGCCTTGAAGGATAATCTGAACTTTTGGGGGAGGGATGTAGGGGAATTACTCTGCTTTGTTTGAAATTAACCATGGCAGCAGGTTTAATGAATAGACCTGGGTTTGTTATCACCTGGGCTCCAAAATGGACTTACTTGTTCCCTACCTGCATGGAGCTTCAAATACTATTTTCAAATCTCATTCCTCTCTCCTTGATTGAGGGCTAGATTCTATCAACTTATTCTTTGCTTTCCATTATGTTCTGATTTGGTATAAGCAACAGTATAGCCACTAATATCACTAACCAAGAAAAAAGTTATGATAATTAGAATTGGATATAAACATCCTTAAAAAATGAGACAAGTGGGAAGTGAGTTTAACTCACTTTGGTAGCCCTTAAGATAATATGGCAAGACTCATTGCACGTTAAGCAATAACCTCTCATGAGTTGCCCCAGTATAGGTGAAGACAGAAGCCATTGAGGTGGACCTGGAAATTTGAGGGTATAAATTTTGTTGTTTTATTATTGGCAAAAGAATTATAGTGATTTAAAATGACCTACAGTTATTTGAAGTGCCTGAAGTAGTTGCTAAGGTAGAAACAGTTGTGTGGCTGAGATGTGGAGAAAATCACCTAGCTGATTGTTCGACACTCTTGTCTCAACTTGGGTTTATTGACCACTAATTATCATGGCAAATAAAATAGCTCTTGTAATGTGATCAAAAGCAAACAACCACCACTCTTCCCCCACCAAACCAATAGCAACTTTTAAAGTTGCTTCTTTTTGAAAGTTATCTGTGCTATAGGAGTAATTTTAACTTAATTTTAAAAATATTTTTATTGAGTTTTTGTTTTTTTTTAGAGCAAAAGGAAGGGAGAGGGAGAGAGAGAGAAACATGGAAGATTGGTTGCCTCCTGAATGCCCCTCACTGACCTGGGTGTGTGCCCTGATCAGAATTCAAACCAGCAACCTTTTGGTGCATGGGATGATGTCCAACAAATTGAGCCACACTGGCTAAGGCGCTGTAGGAGTTTTTTTAATCCTAATACTCTGTTATGTTTTCAGAATATGTCTACTGTTGGTTGGCAAGCCTTCCTTTACTCTTCTAGTAGAATTCCAGGCTTAGGGCATGAGGTTTTTAGGGGAGGGGGCTATGACAGTGAGGTGAAGGAAATCATAGAGATATATTAATACAGAATTGATATATCTTTCAGGTAAGAGGATTTTACTGGACCTGAAATAAAACTGTATTGTAATAATAATAATAATAATAATGGCCACCATGTATTGAATATTAACCATGTTCCACATGACACAGGAGGATGAGAAAGGTGCTAACATTAAACTCATTTTACATATTAGAAATATTGGCTCAGAAAAATTAAATTCTTACCCAAGCTTACTTTATGGGAAAGTGTCAAAAACGAGGATTTTAATATCAGTTTTTCTGACTCCAAGCACTATGCCATGCTATCTTTCCTTAAAAACAAAACAAAAATATCTGCTATGAAAAGAAATCCAAGTCTAATAGAAAAAGAAGGTATGAATGAAACATTAAACAAAAATGCATCCTTGGTAATGTAAGGCTGAAGTATAAAATAAAACATTCAGAATCTGAATGTCTTAGATATTCATATAATTCTTATTTTGTACATATTTGCAAATTGATTATTTTCACATTCTTTGGCAAACATTTTTACCTATCAGCTCAGAATTACTAGTTGGATCATTCACTCCATTTTATTCTTTGTATTAGATAAATAATACTGCTAGCTAAACAATTTTTGTCAGCCTACTTTGGCAAAATTAAAACTCACAAAGATTAGGCAAAGAGTAAAGAAAATAAAACTTCACCTGGTGGTAGGTAGAGAAGAGGTACATGCATTAGTTTCCCATTGCTGCTGTAAAAAATTGCCACAAACATAGTGGTTTAAGGCAATATAAAGTCATTATGCTACAGTTCTGGAGGTCAGAATTAGAAAAAGAATTCTACAGGACTAAAATCAAGATGTCAGCAGGGCTGGTTTCTTCCGGATGCTCCAAGGGAGAATCCAGTTCTTGTTCCTTTTAGCTTCAAGAGACTGCTCATGACCTGTCCCTTCATTTCCTAAGCCAGCTGCAAGCACCTTGCTCCCCTAGGACCTGTGCTTCCATCCTTACATCTTCTTTTTCTCACTCTGATCATCCTTTCCCCCTTATATAAAGACCCTGGTGATTATATTGGACCTTCTAGTTAAAGATAATCTCCACATCTCAAAATCCTTAATCACATCTGAAAAGTCCTTTTTGTCATGTAAGGTAAAATATTCACAGGGTCTGGTGATTAGCACATAGACACTTTTGGGGTCGCTATTAGTATTTACTCCAAGATGTTGCCTCACATAATGTAATTGCTCTACAAATAGTTAATTTTGGTGAAAGAAGGAATAGTTAGTGATTGACTACATGATTACTTTCCATGTTGTATTGTTATGTAATTTGTTCTTTTTTTTTTTTTTTTTATCCTCACCCGAGGACATTTTTCCATTTTTTGCACAGATAGAGTGGGAGGGAGAGAGAGGAAGAGAGAGAGAGAGAAACATCGACGTGAAGGGACACATCGAGTGGCTGCCACCCGCACGACCAACCAGGGCCGGGGACAAACTGCAACCAAGGTACATGCCCTTAGCAGGAACCGAACCCGGGTCTCTCCGGACCGCAGGCCGATGCTCTAACCGCTGAGCCAAACCGGCCAGGGCTATTGTTATGTAATTTGTATGATTTATTTAAGATTTGAGTAACAATTAAAATTATAAATATATTTTATCTTTTTCAAAGTAGATTGCACAATCAGTTCGAGAACTTGAATGGATTTCGAGGTTAAAGGAGTTGCTGCTTCTCCTAGGTGTCAAACTCAGTCATTCTCTGGAAGAAAGAAGCCACGACAAGTACGTGTGCTACATAATTTCCCTCTTAAAGTATGAGTCATTGAATAGTTTTCTGATTATTCTCTTCAGATTTTATGACTACTTATACTGACAAATATTTAGGATCAATATTTCCCTGATTTAAAGAATTGAATCACTAAGCTTAAAGATAATCATTACTTGAAAATTTGTCACTGCTTGAATTTAGTTTTATTTTAAAATATTAAGCTTATTATTACTATTTTCTTACTGTTAATTTAAAAATTATCTGTGTATGTCTGCAGAAAATAAAGAAATAGTAGGAAGAAGAAGAAAATATCAATATATATACATTTTGTGTTGGCTAGATAAGAAGAGATTCTAGGCTTCTATTATTAGTTTTATTCTTCTTAACTTTCATAATATCACTGTTGTGTATATTATTAAGTAAGTACAAGTTTAAAGCCACTTTGTTCTGTATCTACCACAAAGTTGGGTATATATAAAGTTTAGTTTGAAATACATAAAAGTGATGTATATTTCCTTGCTGTGCTTATTCCAAATATTGAACATTACTGTTTGTCAATGACCGTGATAAATGTTTTGATAATTTATATCACTCAATACTTACAATAAACCTTTGAGGTAGGATTTAAATTTACCTGCTTTTAAATATGGAAGAACTGATGGACGGACCTGGAGAATATTATGCTAAGTGCAATAAGCTAGTCAGAGAAAGATAAGTATCACATGATCTCATTCATGTGGACTCTAATGAACAGAGTGAACTAACAAGCAAAATAGAGACAGACTCATAGGTAGAGAGCAGATTCATGGGAATGGGGACAGGGCAGGGGTGGAGGAATTGAGCAAAAAGGAAAAAAAAAGAAAGAGCTCATAGATGTGGACAACAGTGTAGTGATTGTGGGGGAAGGAGGTTGGGGAGAGGTGGAAGAGGATATGTAGTGAAAAAAATGAATAGCTATTAACATTAATTAATTAAATATGGAAGAACTGAGGCTCACAGAGAAAAGTGACTTGCCAGGAATTTGAACACCAGTCTGACTTTCAGATCTGTGTTCTCTACTGTGTTCAGCCATCTCCCTTATAACGAGTTGATGCTTTGGGATTCTAATGGTTCACAATACTATGTGTTAAATCTGAAGTATGTGATAGTTTGAATAGAAGCAGTCCTTCTTATTAGTCAAAATATCAAGTACACTATTACAGTCTTTCCTACTGATTGTCTGCTTATCATATTAAGCGTATCATATTACCAACTTTTTTCCTGTTTGCTAGGAAAGGCTCAAGATTTAAGATCTTAAAAAAAAAAAAAAAAGATTTCTAAAATTAACTTTTATTCTTCCCAAATAATATCTTTCTGTATCTTTATGCTTTTATCTCTTTATTAGAACAGTCCAGCTCTGGTGTTGGATTTCAGGGACAAGTTCATGTTTATCTTAGAACTCTAGTTCCTTAAGGAAAATTAACTCCATATATTCAGGTTATTGTTTCTTAGAGTTTAGCATCAAAGTATCACTATTGTAGTTATCAGCTACCATTTCTGGAGTGTTCTGAAGGTGAAATTAAAAGTGAGAAATACATAAACTCTTTTTAAAACAGTATTACTTAATGCTTCAAATACCATTACAAAGATCAACTGATGTATTCATGTAGGAGATTAAAATATATAAAAAAAGTTGTTCAGCCCCACTAATAATTAAGGGAATGAAAATTAATATAATGATATGCTTTTGTGCCTCTATTAAATTAGGGGGAAAATGTAATACTAAGTACTCAGAACTAGAGTTGGTGCATTGTAAATTGGTACCACATTTTTGATAATGAGATTGGCAGTGTGTCTTAAGCTATAGTAGCAATAGAAAAATATTCAGTACCCTGGCCAGTGTCACTCAGTGGATTAAGCATTGTCCAATGGACTGAGAGGTCCCAGTTTAATTCCTGGTCAGGGCACATGCCCGGGGTTGCTCGATCCCCAGTGTGGGGTGTGCAGGAGGCAGCCAGTTGATGTTTCTGTCTCTCCCTTTCCCCCTCTTTAAAAACATCAATAAAAAACATTTAAAAACATATTACATAAAGTATGGTACCACCTTTAGATAGAATATTATGTAGGCATAAAAATAATAATTTTAAGTAATAACAGAAATGGCTTATAATAAAAGGTGAAAAAGACAGTATACCTATGGAAAATGTACAGCACAAAGAGTGAAACCTAACGTAATCTGTGGACTTTGGGTGATAATGTAGGTTCATTGGTTGTAATGATTGTACTGCTCTGGTGGGGGATGTCATTAGGGGGGGAAGCTATGCATGTGTGGTGTCAGGAATATATGGGAAACCTCTGTACCATACACGCAATTTTGCTGTGAACCTAAAACTGTTCTAAAAAATAAACTCTATTAAAAAAAAAAAAAGACAGGACACAAATAATCCAACTTTTTAAATAAAAGGTCAAATAGTAAATGTTTTTGGCTTTAAAGGCTGTGGAGTGGCAGCTACTGAACTCTGCTGTTGGCAGGGAGAACACAGGGGATTTGTTAACAAATGAGCTTGGCTGTGTCCCATAGCACTTTATGTACAAAAACAGAGCTGGAACAGGGTTTGCTGACTCCTGGCCCTAGGTATTCATGAACTGTAATTTATTGGCTAGCACCAAATTGGCTAGCACAAAAGAAAGATAACTGCCATTTAAAAAATATTTATGCCTATGACTTCAGAAGACTCTTTATAAGTCCATTGAAGCACTTTCTGGGGAATAGCAATGATGATCACGACTATGACTGCTACAGCTGTCTTCTATTTAGATTTTCTTACTACACTTAGATGATGTCACAGTGTTTCCAACTACAATTAAGGAAATCTTAGCTGTGGGATGAAAATGTGCTGTTATTTTAGGCTGATATATATACTGATATAGTTTTAATTTTATTACTATATTAAAATTAATTAAATGCAATTAATGTATTACATATTTATTTTTGTTTTATTATTATATATTAAATAAATACTTCCATATAAATAATCACCTTGTGATTTTATATTCTACATGTTGACTATTTATTAGGATAGTACTTAAAAACAATGTCATATTGAAACTGATACAGAGCGGAATTTGTTTTCTCTCACTCTTCTGGTCAGAAGGATGGAACTCAGTTTTGTATATAATCTCTATACTTACTGTCAGAATCACAGACATTACCAGTTAGATGATATTTCAGGATAAGCTGTAAGTGCTGATGGGAGAAGTATTTTCTGTTTTTATTAGTTTGAACTTTTTCTAAGATGCATACATATTTCTTATTACAGTGGCTAAGCTCACTGTAATTTTTTAGTCTTTGCACATTTTTTTTGGCAATAAGATTGAACATTTACAAACATATACATGCATATATTTGTCACTTCCTTGCTTAAATTCTGCACTCTTTTCCCCATAACCTTTAAGACAAGGTCCAAGTTCCTTAACTTGTATTATAATATAACAGCTCTGACCATTACCCTCTCACACTGTGGATTCCAGCCCTTTCCAGCTGCTGACTCTGGCCCGTGGTCTGGTTCAGCACAAGCTGCTCCTCTGGGCTGAAACACTTTTCTCCCTTCTGTCTTCATCCGGCTAACTGTCCTCCTCATCTTTCAGAGATCCACGTAAAGGTAACTTTTTGGTTTTGAAAAAACTTTGTCAATTTCCTAGACTAGGTTGGATACACATGCTATGTGTAGCTTCTCCGTCATAGCACTCATTTTTCACATTCTTGTTTGTTTGAGTAAATGTCTTCTGCAGCAGATGGAGTGCTACGTAGGTAAGAATTATCTGTGTTGCTTATCATTCTATCTCTGTGTCTCAAACATAGTTGGTAGAGGCTTAATACGTATTTCTTATATAAAGTTTACTGAGAAAAGTTGTAATTAGTTTTATTGCATTGATTCATTGCTTATCTTTTAAAGTATAAATGAAGGATACATGCATACTTTTTTTTTTTTTTAATTAAAGCAAGGATGGACTTCCAAATCCCGGGCAATCCAGAATTCTTGCCTCCCTGTGTAAGTCACATTTTTTCACATTTGATCTGTTTAATGGGCAAATATTTATAATACATTAATAAGGAAAAAACAAAGACTAAATTATATATGTATATACACCCATGATTGTGAACCACAGAAAAGTTTATATGCATGCGGATGACCTAAAATTACTATACCAAAATTAAAATAGCTTTTATATAGGATGGTATGATTAAGGGTAATACTTCTCTTATTTTTTATTTTATTTATACTTGTTCTTATATATTCCTGAAAAAGTTTAAATATTACTTTATTTAGAAATTTGTTAAGTTCATTTATTGAAGAAATATATGAAATTTTGCATTTTATAAATAGAATAGTCAAAATGAATTAGATGGGACCTCTACTTTGAGAACTATGACAATTTTATCAGTCTTATTAAAATTACTTTATTTTGCCCAGCCAGTGTGGCTTAGTGGTTGAGCATCAACCCCATGCACCAAGAGGTCACTGGTTCGATTTCCGGTCAGGACACATGCCCAGGTTGTGGGCCTGATCCCCACTGGGGGGCATGCAGGAGGTAGCCAGTCGATGTTCTCTCTCATGTTTCTATCGCTTTCTTTCTCTCTAATATCAATAAAAAAAATAAAAAATAAAAATAAATAAATAAAACAATTTTATTTTGAACCAGAATACATTAACTTATTTTATACTTTGCATTTTTCCCTTTTAAAATTTGGAAGTATATATTTATATATCCTTACAAGTATTTTAGACTACAGGCTTCTTGGAAAATAGAAATTAAAAACTTTATAAGTATTAGGCTGAACCACATGAACTTGGCTAGTATCAGAAATTTCTTGTGGTTCTACATAATAGGTACCTATATGCTCATCTAGAGAAAGAACAGAGCGCTAGATACAAGATGATGAGTATATAACAACAGTCATTCGTATGCTGGTATATGGTTTCAAACAACTGGTTTCCTGAAACTGTACTAGAAGTTGTATATAAATTTTAATTGTTAATTATAAATACTCAAGTATATGTTAAGTTAATTATAAATTTTATTGATATAAAGGATATGTAGCAAGGAATTTACAAGTGCTAATAAAATATATAAACTCTTTATTGTAAATTCCATATAGCCAATTGATTGACACAGAAAGATAAGAAATAATTTTTATATCTGTAGCCAATCTGTGGTTGTAATTGATGAACCAGTGTAGTTCCAACATAAATGTTGGTTGATATTTTTATTTATTGTAGGGTGATGTGAGTAGTTTCTTTGCTGAAGCAAGTAATAGTTTTGAGTACTAGAACAATATTTCTGCTTTTTGTTATTCATAATGTGACAATTAATACACAATATACTTTTAGGTTTAATCTGCATTATTTAACATTTTCTCCACCACTTTTAAAAGTCTCAAAAATCAACAAAATGATAAGTCAAGTTTTGATTCATAGCATTTTGCCAATTTCTGTGTAAATAATTCTACTGTGGTTGATTTCAAGCTGTCTATAGAGCAATATCACTGAACACAGAGTTGAAAAGAGTTGTATACCGTTATATTACTACACAGATATCAATAACCTGTAGGACACAAATCATAGTGAAGGATAGTAAAATCATTAAGAAGTAATGACTTTTGAGTATTTATTACCTTTGTTTTTAATATCACTTATTTAATTATAAACTTATATAATTTTATTTTAAATAATTTTGTGTTGACAACAAGCTCTAAAATTACTGACCATTTAACAAAAGGTAGCATAGCTGGTAGGCATCAGCACACCATTGGCTTCAGTGCACCTTTTTATGTAAGATGCAGCATATATGGTTTACAACTATTAATGTCTCATTTTTAAAAGTTATGGGCTTCATAGATTTTTTTCTTTCAGGGTCCCACGACTTGATTTGGGAAGCCTTGTTGACTCTGATGAGGAGGTAATTTTACTTAGTATTTAATATAATAAACAGTTGAACACAATATTACATGAGGCATATAATAAGTATCATTTAATTTTATTTTTAGGATGATTTTTCATGTATTCCACTTAGTACAGCGCATATTTATTTTGACCCACCAAATTCGTCTTCTGCTCTTGATTGGGTCACACCATGTCAAATACCATATACTCAGCATCATCTAAATGAACTGGTTAGTATTTAGTTGTCATTACCAACATTCTGAATGATAGCGTGCATTTTAGCAGTGTACTCAATCCAGAAATTTTATTATGTATAGTCTATATTTTGTTCAGTTTAAGTATTTTATATATTAACATCCCAAAGAATAATGTTGGTGCAATCCAAGAATTTAAAATTATGGTAGAATATTAGGTCAGATCTTGCAAGTTTGACAATATAAGATTTGTTTCTTGGAAACTGACTAATTTTTAGGCTACTAATATATTATGGAATAAATAAATATACTAATTCCAAGGTATCTTTTTGGGACATATTTATACTTCACACAATATTTTCTGTTATGGACATAAGTTCTGACCAGTATTTTTTGGGGTAGGGCTTGCCTTTATGTCTGTGTTATGTCTCATGTAACTGGCTCTATTCAAGTTCTCATCAGTCTCATTTTGATAAATTGCACCAATAGTACCCTAGTCTGTATCCTGCTACAGTTTCCACCCTGACACTTTACCTCATCCTTTTCCTCTGGGTGAGACCTGGGTATTATCAACAGTTTGCCAGGGTTGTACTGGCTTTATACTGCTTTTGAAGTGGCTGTCCCTTTCTGGCTTTCTGGGACAATAAGTATACCCTAGTGTTTGCTTAACACTTCTTTTAAGTTTCTCATATCCACCGACTTTGTCATGTCTCAGTCCCATGGAAGTGTGGCAGAGGAACAAATAATACCCGAAGATAGAATGTGTTAGTATTCTAGAAATGGCACCCAGTGCTTCTCAGTATTAGTGATCCTTAATTCCTATGCCTATTCTGGAAGAACTGATTGACATGGAGTTTTTCTGGGGCAGGGAAAAAAGGCCTATCTAAAACTCCTAAAAAGAAAGAAAAGTTATTCACTGTCCTCTCAAATTATTTTAGAACCAGGGCTGATTTTCACTGGGGAACAAGGTACAGACTTACTGGCATTGAAGGTCAGTGCGAGTTCTCAGCAATTCCGTCTGCTCTGATCACTCAGCGATGCTGTACAGCCAAACGTTTCGCCTGTCTGCTCTGCTTAGAATATAGATACAGCCGTCTGTTTCTTAGGCATAAATGATAAATCTGTTAATGTTAATAAGGCAAATTAATAATTATTTTTATTTTTTCTGGTGGATAGCACACTTTTTCTTTTTGTCTTAGGAGCAGGACATTATACCTGAAGATTTGCCAGCACCAACAGGCAAATATAGGCTAAAATATCAGCAATACAAAACTGAAATGAAAGAGGCATATAAACAGTATAGTCAGAGAAATGCAGAAAGGACAAAATCAAATATCACACATCAAACATCTCCAAGAGACAAGATAGAAGACAAGGTAATGTATGAGGCTTTATAAAATCCTAATGAAATTTTGAAGAAGAGTACATGTGTTATAGAAACATCTTTCTGTCTGCTATGCCTTACTGTTAGTCCTAATCAGTGTGCCCAGAACCATTCTAAGTATTTTACTTAGATTAACTAGTTTATTTTTCACAACAACCCTAAAGGGTTATTGTTACCATTTTCAGATGTGAACACTCTAGCCATATGACCTAGTCATCTGTTGGAAATTTTTCACTTGCCTTGGGATTGGAAGTAAGACAATATCATACAGCATAGCTGTTTTTCATGTAGTTGTCTTGAACTCTGTCTTACAGTCTAAGTGTTAAAGTTGACAAGTGGTTGCAGATTTTATAGTGACCCTGTTTTATTCTGAAACTATCATTACTCCACAATTGTCTTCTGTCTCGTTTTGGGAGATGTTTTTTTAACATCACGAGTTGCTAAAATTGTTATGCTTTTATTGAATATTAAATAGGTGTCAATTCAATGAGAGCAAAGTAAACATAATGAATTTAAGGACTTTCCAGAAACATACAGGAAAGGTCAATCTTGAATTTTGGAAAGAAAGGTTTGGAAACACAGTTTAGGATACAGCTGGCCGTAAAGAGGAGAACAGTTGTATTCAATTCATAATTCAGTTAACTCTTTATAAAAATAATGTATTTTCAGGGAAGTTTGATGCTTGTATTTGCTTAGCATTTTTCTATAGGTAAAAAGGATTAATTTATAAGTATGTGTGGCATATCAGTTGGTTTTTCTAACCCAGTAGGAATGAACTAGAACTAAATCCTGTGGTGTTTTGCTGAGAGCAAGAGTGATGGGGTTATTAGGTGCCCTTTATCTTAAAACAAGATTCCCAGATCCAAACAATGCACACATGAATAAATATCTAGTGTCTATAATAGTAGGCAGGATACTTTCACAATTCTTTTGCAGCTGATGAGAAGCCGGATTCTGGAAAGACTTTGAAGACCGGGCTGAGAATACTTTCTAACGGATTGGTTGTAGACTTGAGAGAAAGGAAAGATGAAAAATGACCCTAAGGCTTTTGTCTTGAGCAATTGAAGGGATGGGGGAGACCACAAGGGAGTCTGGTTTGGGGAGGTTAAATCTGAGAGACTAAGTGGAAATGCCACTGTTTACCCTTTGTAAAAGTTAAAAACAAGCTGAAACAAAATAGAATTTTCAACCTACACATGATGTAGAACTTTATGTTTAAAAGAAAATCTGACAAATATATTGGCAGGTAAATAAAAAATGTATAAAGTATCCCCATAAATAGATTCCCCAATAGTTAATACACAGGGCTCATTACTCATTTGTTGAAGAAACAGTCATTGAGGGCTCACTGTGTGTGGTCCTGGCCCCAGGGGAACTGCAATAACAGTGGAGGCAAGGTTCCTGCCCTCATGGGGCTTGTAGAGAGAGGCTGGCAATCAAAGGTCATGAAGACAGAGTAGAGTATGAAGTTGGACCTTTCAAGGAAGATTTAAAGTAAGAACAAATCCTGGGGGGAAATGCTTGAAATCAATTATGTTTTTGCTAGTTGCTTTCCTACTGGAACATTCTTGTTGAGTTTAAGAGAGTATAAGCACAACTTATATTCAGAGAAAAATACAGTGTTTATCTCTTTAAGACCCCAAAGGATCTTTATCTCAAAGGATACACCCCATCTTTTAGTACTTTACCGCTAAACTTAATTTTATAAAGGAGTGGGCATGCCCACATTTATTAACTTTACAAAGACTCAAATGGACAATAATAGCTACAATAGTTACTACCTTCTATTTCATGCTTTCTGTATGTCAGGTACTTTTTAAGTGTTAGACCTGTGTCATCTCATTTGATCTTTGTCCGTGTGTGTTTGTGAAGTGGTTACTATTATTGATTCCCATTTCCATGAGTAAACCAAGGCACAGAGAGGTCATCTCAGTAGAAAGAGGAAGAACTGGATCCAACAGGAAATCTGCTCACCAGAGCCTGGACCGTTTGCCCCCCCCGGAAGGAACCACCGATGTGTTTAGTGGTTCTTTAATCCTCTCTTTTGTTAAGAACAAATATTCAAAGTAAGTGTATGAGTTCATATATTGCTTTCGTGTATAGTGTGCCCCAGGGGAAGCAGCAGTGACGGGTGACCTTACGACCCTGGACAGGAAAGCCCTCTTACAGCAGTGCTTCGCAGCCAGCCCTCGCCGCGTTCCGCAGAGTACCGGAAAATCTGACGCTGTAAGTTAGCAGTACGTTTACTTGTTTGATAAGCCAGTAAGATAATTGGCCCTGCAAGATTTTACAGACTTACAATTGAATGAATAATTTCAACAATTAAATTTGGACTGAGATGAACTTTCATTAATGTGCAAATTGAGTCCTCAGTTTTATAAATGATTGATGTTTGGTGTATTTACTGTGGAGAAAATGACTTGAATCTTTGAGAGCTTGTAAACATTTTGTTTAAAATGTTCCAAATGTTAATTGGCTTATATTTATGTCAGTGGGCTTATTTGGCATTGACCCTCCTCCAAAGAAGTCTGGATTTTCTGTTTTCATAGTCAGAAGCTAAGAAAACTAGAGAAATTCAGAGCAGTTAAAGAACAAGAGTAAAGTAAATGCTCTATAGGGAAAAGGAAACAAACCTTTAGACTCTCAATATTAACTATATTATATCTTTTATAAAGTCAATTATATTGTTTGATGAGTATTACTTGGACCAGTTCTGGTACAAATAGATAATTACATAATTTCTCTTTTTTTCACATTAAAAAAATACTTTATTTCTTTAATACAAGTAGTTTATTTCATGTTATTTACCTTTTAATAATTAAATTTATTGGGGTGACATAGGTTAATAAAATTATATAGATTTCAAGTGTGCCATTCTGTGATACATCATCTGTTTATTGCATTGTGTGCCCACCACCCATCAAAACCAGCTGCTTGAAGTTGGAGTCCACTGGCCTCTCCAGACACCCCCAGGTGATGAGAATCTTAGGCTCATCTGTAATGGATTGATGGCCTGCCAGTGTGTGTTGGCTCAAAAGTTGGGAAAACCCTGGTTTAGATAGACTAAATAATAATAAAGCAATATGGATTTAGCCAGTTATATTTTCATTATCATTGAGGGGAAATTTAATATATATTAATTTGGGTCACACTCATCCAGAATCACTATCCTCTGAACTGACAGCTATGTGTAATCAGCCTCGACCAGGCGGATGGATTTTCTGAGAATGTCCCAAGTTGCTGCTTGTTGTAATTCTTTTACTAAAAGGACATGCACTTTCTTTTCTATGCCTATTATTATTTACATATTTATAGTTAATAGAATAAGGAATATTAGCAGGATCGTTCTAAAAATAAAGAAGCTGCCTTGGATGGTTTGGCTCAGCAGTTAGAGTGTCGTCCCATGGACCAAAGACTCATGGATTTGATTCCAGGTCAAGTGCATGTACTTCGGTTGTAGGTTTGATCCCTGGCACTGGTCAGTCGTGTGGGAGGTAACCAACTGATGTGTCTCTCTCACATCATTGTTTTTTTTCTCCCACTCTATCTGAAAATCAATGGAGAAATATCCTCGGGTGAGGATTAAAAAATAAATGAAGAAAGTAAAAATAAGGAAGCTAATTTATAAGGCAAAATAGTGTCTAAAATTAGGCTTTTTGGATATGTGTCTAAAGTCATTGTTGAAATGCATGTCAACAATAATTAAGGTCCATTGAGTATTGTTCTTGATATAATCCAAAGCCATCGGGTGTTAGTGGATTTCTTTTCCTTACAATTACTTCATTAGTGGCAATATATCTAAATTCACTGTCAAGGACATTTTACTTGATTGTGGTAGCACTCATTTATCTGTGTTTGCCAAGGAAATGCTTACGTAAGTAAACTTTGAATGCATCAAAAATTAATATTTATTTGTTTTTAAAATGTAGATGGCAACTTTTTAGTTTAATTTTTAACTACCTTACTGGACAACAGAAGCAATGAGTGTGTGGTTTTTATGTTCATCTCTTCTAGTTTGCTTGTCCTTTTTCAGTGTTAGCAGATTCTTTGCACCAGTGTTGCTTCTGCTTCTAATCTGCTCCACGTGTGTACAGACCTCGACGTCCGTGTGCCCGAGGGCAGTCCTCACCTTTCCTGCAAGGTGTGAGCCGCCGTTAATGTGAAGGGCTACGGCTGGCTTTCTGCATGGGCTCTGTATTTATTAATCTCACCTCTTTTGCTTGCTTCTGGGTTTTACATCTGTGTTCTGGTTGATCTTTTTTGTATATAATTTTATGTTTTAGTCAGTGTCTACTTTCTGAATCACCCTTTGATAAAAAATGTACCTGGCTTTACCTGTAAGTTACACACTTATAACTTCTTAAAAATCATTACAGAATCATAAAAAAATTGTTATAAAGTGTCACAAACTTAAGAACTCAGGACGTGGTTATATATTAAATGATATGGACTCTATATGGGTTATATTTGGAGGGGTAAAGTATATATCATAAATTTCTACCAAACCCGAATCTAAATTCAATTATAGACTAACTTTTAAATGACTGTGCCCAGCTCTTCCAGGTTTTTTAGGCATTTCCATGTTTTGTTTCTATAATATGCCTTTAGTTATTCTTATTTGAATTTTGTGTTAAATAGTGTACTCGCTAAAGTTACAAAAACTCTGTCTTAAGTAGCAGAACCTTTCTCAATTTCCTTTATTGGAGTGATCAATGGGGATGGATGACAGTAATTTATATTTAAAAAAAAAATAGAACAGGTTTTATTGGACTTATTAAATTTTTTAACCTTTTTTATTTACCCTTCAAAAGCAACGGTTTAGTGATTATAGCTACATGATGATGTAATTGGAATTGAGTGATTACAGATTAGTTGGATGTGACCTAAAATGCAGTAAAAATACTTCTGGAAAAGCAAAACATAATCTGAAGATAGTCAAAACACTAATTGAGAAAAGTTGATCAAGAATTATTAATGACTTTACATGCATAGAAATTATTATGCTTTTAACGATAGGAGGCTTTTGTTAGATTTTTGGATCTTTTATATAGGGTCAGTGGTTCCAATTCAGCTTCAGCTTCACGTACTGGGATTGGTATATATTTTAGGATTCTCTTGTTAACCATAGTATTATTCTGCTTTATGGACAGTGTGATTTTCTTTATTTTTTCACCTCTTAGGAAATTGTGGCCGCCGAGAAGAAGAAACAGATTGTTGCAGAGCAAGTGATGATAGACCTCCTGTCCAGGTGACAGTTAGTCACTGGTGATGGAAATCCATTAAGAAAGTTTTGTTAACATTTTTAAAAATTCCTGACAATCCACATCCTTGCCCAGTCAACAAGTTGATAACTCAGACATTCCCAAACTTTCTCTCTCCAATGTTCTCTTAGTGTTTCAGTACTTTTTTCCACAGCTCTCCTAGGCCAATAGAAAAGCCTATTATTTCCACTTATTAAGTATTTGTATCTAAACAACTTAATGAGTATGTACTTCCTAACTATTTAATGGCTATTTGAATATATATATATATATATATATATATATATATATATGTGTGTGTGTGTGTGTATACACATAGATACATACACACACACACGAAAAGAAAATGTATTTTTTTATTCTTAAATAGCATAGTTACCTACTAATGGGATGTATGCACCTTTTTGGACACTGCGTGGTCTATGAAGCCTTGGGACTGTTTAGGATGCTGCCACCCTCACTCTCTATTCCGTATGGCACTTGCTTTTACGACAGGGCTGTAAAAAGCCCAGCTTTGCAAAGATGATATATCATTGAAGGAGTGTATCTTATTGAAACTGTGAATTACTTTGAGCTAGTAGTTCATGTGGTGTCCAATAAATATCAAATACTGTATTTCCCTCAAAAATTAAAAATATCCTACAGCGTCCCTGGGAGTTCCCTGGGACACCCCAGAGTGACTTGGTATACAGTTTGGGAACCATGGAACCAACTATAAGAATTGTAAAATGTAATCTAAGTTTCATAATCCTTAGAAAACTATATAAAGTTTTAGCACCTGCCATGCTAAATGATATGACAATATGTAAATATTGCAAGGTTTCAGGAGAAACTGGAATTAGTCTACATTTTCCAGGAAGAAGTAAGACAAATTTAGCTTTGAAAAAATGTCTTTCATTAGGTGGCAGAGAAAAAGAATTATATTCTACATGCATGTTTTTCAGTAAATTGTTTGAAATAATTAATTATACTTACAGTCTTCAGCATATCTCCTTTCATTAGCTCATGAACTAACTTTAGTAATATTTCCACCCTACCATGTCTCCACAGGTAATCGTTCATTTAATATCTGACATATATAAGTCTGATAGCAGTGTAAATTTGAATTCATATATGGGCTTTTTCAACAGCTTACAAATATGTTAATGCTAGCACAATAAATTATTCCAGTTGATTGTCAGACTTTGTGTTTTGTTGCATAGGGCTGTCATCAGTGATCCAGAACAAAATTTAACCACTGAGAAACAAGAAGGTGCTTGTATCTTTCCGGATTCAAATATAACACCTCTTCGATTTAGGAAAAGAACACTACACGAAACAAAGTAAGATGAGTTTACTTGTATAAATTGAGGATGCTGCATTTATGCATGTATTTTTTAAATGTTATTATGTGTTCAACTAAAAAGTTTTTTACTTTTTGCTATTGAAAAGAAAGTGGATTTTTGGAGTTTAGATTCCAGTTCTTCCACTTTAAGATATTGGCATAAAGTTTGCCCTCTGGGTTTTCTATTTATAATTTAGGAATAACAGCCACAACTTTAGGAGATTATATATCTCTATCTGTGTAAAATATACAATATAGCAACAGACATTGGTATGTATACAATATGTATTGGCTGAATCTCATTAATATAATACATTCAAAGTTAGTGTTGTTTAAAAGTTATTATTTTGCATTTTACTTTGTAGCTTACAAAATCTTTAGATTGTTGTAGACTTTCACAGTCCTCTGGTGTATTTCACTCAGATTGCTCAACAAGTTCTCCGACTGCAGACATCTAGCTTCAGCTTTAACGAGCAGAGCAAATCCACCAGTTCCTGTAGTGATTCTTTTATATTTTCAGACAGCTGTAATTGTCGGGCAGTTACTGTCTTATAATTTTTATCTTTTTGTCTTATTCTTATTTTCTGGAACCTTTGATTTTCATAACTTTAAATATTTGAATGTGTCATGTATTAATTTCCTATTGCTGCTATAACACATTACCACAAACTGTTTTAAAACAACATACATTGATTCTCATTCAGTTCTAGAGGTCAGAAGCCTGAAGTCAGGGTCTTGACAGGGCGCATTCTTCTGGAGGCTTCCGGGAAGAATCGGGTTTCTTGCCCTTTTCATCCTCTAGAGGCTGCCTTCATTCCTTGGCTCATGGCCCCTTCTTCCGTCTCCAAAGCCAGCAAGGGCCGGGCAAGCCTTTTCCGTGTGATCTCACCCTGACACTTTTGTGTATCATCTATACCTGTGCTCCCCTGTTATAAAAACCCATGTGATTTATGGCACTGAGCCTCCCTGGGTAATCTCTTCATCTCTGAATCTTTAATCACATCTGCAAAGTCCTTTTACTGTACTATGTATGTTAACGTGTTTGTTTACATGTTCCAAGGATTAGGACATGAATATCTCAGAGGACCATCATTCAGCTATCACATGTCTAAATGTCTTTTTTTAAAGTAAACTTTTGCCCTGGCCAGTTTGGCTCAGCAGTTAGAGCGTCAGCCTGCGGTCTGGAGAGACCCGGGTTCGGTTCCCGCTAAGGGCATGTACTTCGGTTGCAGTTTGTCCCCGGCCCTGGTTGGTCATGCGGGTGGCAGCCACTCGATGTGTCCCTTCACGTCGATGTTTCTCTCTCTCTCCCTTCCTCTCTCTCCCTCCCACTCTATCTGTACAAAAAATGGAAAAATATCCTCGGGTGAGGATAAAAATAAATAAGTAAACTTTTATTGAAATATAACATTCACAAAGTGAACACGCTTTAAGTGTACAGCATATGAATTTTCGCAACCTGAACAAGTTTCTAGATCAAGAAATAGAATGCTACCAGTCTCCCAGTGCCCACCTCTTGTGCTGTTTCGCAGTTACTGTCTGTTCCTCTGCCACAGTGGGTCGATCTCTCTGTCCTACTGGCATAGATTATATACTTAAATGAAACCACAAAATTTAGACTCTGTATCTGGCTTCTTTTGTTCAACGTGATGATGTTTGCACTTTTTACCCATGTTATTATTTGTAGGAGTCCTTTATTTTCATTGCTGTACAGTATTTCATCGTGTAAATATACCTCAATTTATTTATATACAGATATTTATGGACATTTGACTCTTTATGAACGGTGTTGCCATGAAGTTTTTGCATGCCTTTTTGTGAACTTATGTACTTGTTTCTGCTTAGTACCTACTTTGAAGTGGAATCGCTGGGCCATTTAGTATGTATATATTCAGCTTTAAAAAATATTGCCAAATAGTTTTCCAAAGTAGTTGTTGCAGTGAACATTACCACCAGTAGTAGGAATAGGGTGCTAGTTGCATCACTATTTGCTCATGCTTGGTATTTTCTATATTTTTTTAGTTTTTATGGGGGTATATTTGTAATTTTTAAAAAAAGTCCTCACCTGAGGATATTCCTCCATTTATCTTCAGATAAAGTGGGAGGGAGGGAGAGAGAGAGAGAGAGAGAAAGAGAGAGAAAAACATCAATGTTAGAGAGACACATCAAATGGTTGCCTCCCTCATGACCCCGACCAGGGCCGAGGACTGAGCCACAACTGAGATATGTGCCCTTGGCCACAATCGAACCTGCAACTCTTTGATCAGTAGGCCGACACTCTGACTGCTGAGCCACACCAGCCAGGTCATGTATATGTAATTTTAATTTACATTTTACTGGAGAATAATGAAGTTTGGCACTTTTACATATATTTATTGGTCATGTAATTATATTCTTATATGAAACTTCCCTTCAAATCTATTGGCTTATCTTTTTCACATTGATTATGAAACTTATTTATATATTCTAGTTACAAGTTTTTGTTCAGTTGTATATGTTGGACATATATATTCCTACACTGTGGTTACCTTTACATTCTCTTGATCAGAGTTCTTAATTTCACTGTAGACGAGTTTGCCATTCTTTCCATTTGCTGTTCATGTCCTTTGCATCTTCTTGAAGATATCTCTGCCAAACACAAACTCTATCTCTGACTTACTCTGCCATTTATGTCATATATGAAGTTGTTATAAATGCATGGTAGGTTTCTAGGCTTTTTCTTTAGTCTCATCTACCTGTAATATTTTATTGCACCTATATAATTCTATATTAATTAGTATTGCTTTATATTTTTTAAACTCATCTTTATTGTTGACTGTATTACAGATGTTTCCCCCTTTCTTCTTCCATTGACCCCCTCCTCCCTAGTCCTTCCCCCGTCCTGCCTTCCCCACACTATTGTCGGTGTCCATTGGTTGTGCATATATGCATAAAAGTTCTTTGGTTTATCTCATACTGCCTTCTTTCCCTCCTTCCCTTTGAGGTTCATCAGTCCAACAAAAAATTTGTACTTGTTAATTCCTTTATCTTTTTCATCTCTCCCCCCAGCCCCCACCCATCTGGCAAGCAACAAAACGTTCTCTGTATCTATGAGTCTGTTTCTGTTCTGCTTGCTCATTTTGTTTGTAGATTCAATTGTTGATAGATATGTATTAATTGCCGTTTTATTGTTCATATTTTTGTTCTTCTTTGCCTTCAAGAAGACCCTTCAACATTTCATATAATACTGGTTTGGTGGTGATGAATTCCTTTAGCTTGTTTTTTGTCTGGGAAACTCTTGATATGTCCATCGATTCTAAATGATAGCTTTGCACGATAGAGTAATCTTGGTTGTAGGTCATTGCTTTTCATCACCTTGAATATCTCTTACCACTCCTTTCTGGCCTGCAAAGTTTCTTTTTTTTTGTTATCCTCACTGGAGGACTTTTTTCCATTTTTTGTTCAGATAGAGTGGGAGGGAGAGAGAGAGAGAGAAACATCGATGTGAAAGGGACACATCGAGTGGTTGCCACCTGCATGACCCAATCAGGGCCAGGGGCAAACTGCAACCGAGGTATGTGCCCTTAGTGGGAACCGATCCCAGGTCTCTCTAGAATGATGCTCTAACCGGCTGAGCCAAACCGGCCAGGGCACAAAGTTACTTTTGAGAAATCAACTGACAATCTTATGGGAGCTCCTTTATAGGGAACATACTGCTTTTCTCTCGCTGCTTTTAAGATTCTCTCTTTGTATTTAACCTTTGGCATTTTGATGATGATGTGTCTTGGTGTGGGCCTCTTGGGGTTCATCTTGTTTGGGACTCTCTGTGCTTCCTAGATTTGTATGTCTGTTCCTTCACCAAGTTAGGGAAGTTTTCTGTCATTATTGTTTCAAATAGTTTTTTAATTTCTTGCTCTCTCTCTTCTCCTTCAGGCATCCCTATGATGTGAATGTTGGCACGCTTGAAGTTGTCCCAGAGGTTTCTTTCACTATCCTCATTTATTTTTATTCTTTTTTCTTTTTGCTGTTCTGGTTGGGTGTTTTCTGCTTCCTTATATTCCATATTGATGATTTGCTTCTTGGCTTTTTCTACTCTATTATTGATTCCCTGTAAATTATTCTTTATTTCAGTTAGTGCATCCTTAATTTCTGACTGGTCCTTTTTGATGTTGTCGATGTTCTCACTAAGTTCCTTGGCGGTCTCCTTAAGTTCCCTGAAGGTCTCACCAAGTTTCTTGAGCAACCTTATAACCTGTGTTTTGAACTCTGCATCTAATTGATTGCTTATCTCCATTTTGTTTAATTCTTTTCTTGGAGTATTGTTCTTTTCTTTCATTTGGGATATGTTTCTTTGTCTCCTAATTTTGGCTGCTTCCCTGTAGTTGATTCTATGTATTAGGTAGAGTTGCTATGTCTCCTAGGCTTCAAGGGTGGCCTATTGTTGTAGGTGTCCTGTAGGATCCAGTGGCACAGCCTCCCTGATCACCCCAGCTGGGCCCTCGTGGTGCACCCCTAGTGTGGACTGTATACCTGTCTGTTGTAATTGAGCCTTAATTGCTGTTGGCATGTCGATGGGAGGGATTTACTCAGGCTGGTCATCTGCAAAGATTGGTTGTGCCCACTGACCACAGGCCTGTCATTACCTTGGAGGATCAGCTGGGCAGGGGCCCACCACACAGAGCAAGACTTACTTCAGCAGGGCGCTGGTACCCACTGAGTCCACTCATTGAGTGTGTCACTTGTGGAGGTGGTTGGGTGGTGGTGTATCGATGTGGTCTGAAGCTGTCCACTGGGTGTGCTGGCTCTGGGGTAAGGTCAGAAACTGCTTGTGTTCTATCCATGGCCACCTGGCATAAACTACAAAGTGATCTGCAGGTGGCTACTTCTTGTGCTGGGCTTGGAGGTGCACAGGAAAAGCCAATTTGTGTACCAAGGCTGGTTGCTTCTAGTGTCAGGCCTGGGGCCACTGAACGAGAGGTACGGGGCTCGCTGAGACCAGATGCTACTTGTTTGAGAGATTTTAGGAAACTCTGAAGTAGGATCCAAGACAGGCCAATCTTCTCTTCCTGGCACTGGAACCCTGAGCTGATGCCTGATGTGGGACCCCTCACTGAGGTATCCTCCTGATTTTTATCCACCACACGTGGGTGTGGGACCAGCCAGTCTGCCTCCGCCCCTCCTACCAGTCTCCATGTGGCTGCTGCTTTAATTCCGTAGTTGGAGGACTTTCATTCAGCTCGACATCAGGCAGTTCTGAAGGATGATTCTATTGTAGTTTAGTTGTAATTTTGATGTGGTTGTGGGAGGAGGCAATACCATGTTTATCTACGACGCCATCTTGACCAGAAGTCAGTGTTGCTTTATATTAAATACCTGCAGTTTGTTTCTCTTCAATATTGACTTGGCATAATAGGCCCTGTTCTCTTTATTTTTTTATTTTATTTTATTTTTTTTAATCCTCATCCGAGGACATTTTTCCATTTTTTGTACAGACAGAGTGGGAGGGAGAGAGAGGAAGAGAGAGAGAGGGAAACATCGATGCGAAAGGGACACATCGAGTGGCTGCCACCCGCACAACCAACCAGGGCCGGGGACAAACTGCAACCGAGGTACATGCCCTTAGCGGGAACCAAACCCGGGCCTCTCCGGACCGCAGGCGGACGCTCTAACCGCTGAGCCAAACCGGCCACGGCCCTTTTCTCTTTAATAGAACATTTTGATTTAGCTAGTCTAGTTCTATGCAAAATCCTATGGGGATATTGAGTAAAATGATTGAATCTATGGATTTCAGCTCCCTCCCCATATTCATTATTCCCAGAAGAAGAGGAGAAAATTCTGCTTCATAGAGTTAGAAGGGGAAACGTGGCATGTGTCCTGCAACCTTTTCTCTTGTTGTTTCCCTGGGAGTTTGCTGCCTGCAGAAGCACAAGTTCTGTGTGTGTTAGTTGTACAAGTCCCTCACCAGAGGAATGATGGGTTCATCTGTTTAATTCTAGTGTCAAGCACTTAGCTTCTTACTTAGCTTCTTGTTACTGTGTTCCTGAGCCATGGTTGCCAAAGGCTTTATCAATAATAAAATTCATATTTTGGTCTTGATCTGCTAAATTCTTTTTCTGTATTGGTTAAGAACTTGGGTAGATTATTATTTTTTTAAAAATCTCTTCCCTACCTCCCAGCCCCCTCTTCTGAGGTTTGTTAGTCTGTACCCTACTTCTATATCTCTGGGTCTGTTTTGTTCATCAGCTTGTTTTGTTCATGATATTCCACAAATTGGGTAGATTCTTGGTGCTACTTATCAGAAACCTAAAACCCCCAACATGGAGCTTTGCATTATAATATAAATACCTATTTACTTCTTTTGTCTGTTCAAGGAGACTCTAGACTCCTTGAAGCTATTACTTCAACCTATCATTGTTAAACTGAGTTCTGTTCACCTTTGAAGAGCAATATAATATAATGGTTATGAGCAAGGTTTTACTTTTCTAGCTTTGCCATGTACTAACTGTAAAATTTATTTATGGGATGGGGATAATAATACTTATTGCATGGAGTTATTGCAAGCATTAAATGAGCCAATATACATTAAAGTGATTTTAATAATAACTAGTGTCTAGGAAGTTCTAAATAATTATTAGTGCTGTTACTTTCTCAACATTTAAAATTACATAATGGGCATTCAATAAACACATTAATAGTAATGGATTAAAATAAATTGAGATGACCAAGCTTTTATGGTTCAATTCTGTGTTCATAGACTCATTTGGTCCACTGACTCTTATTGGATTTATCTTGTTTACCTTTCATAGAAACCTAGGTTTTATAGAGATATAACATTTGAAAATCTTTATGCCCCCATACACTTACTTTCTATTTGCATTATTGCAATGTTGTTATACCTGTAGGGAATATTATAAAATAATTTAGGAAGCTGAGTAAAGATATATCATGGAATGTTCAGATTTCTTAACATGAAAGAGATTATTAGGGATAGAGTGCCAAAGTGTGTGCATTTGGGTTTTGCTTCATATTATTAAACATAATTTTAAGAAAAGCAGTCTGTGAGATCATTTAATGCTATCTGAAGGCTATAAAGAATAAATTACTGATCTGAGGTCTCATAGACCGATTGCAAGGCTAAAACCTCATCTAATCCTCTATACTGAAAACCTGACTGATAATGGCTCAAATAAGTCAGGATTTATTTATTTTTCGTATACAACTAGCTGCTTGGAGGTTGTTGGTTGTAGTTCAGTGGCTCAGAGATGGCATAGCTCTGGGCTGGCTTCCTCGAGACTGTATTGATCTTTCTGACGTTAGTTGCCGATGGCTGTAGTGGGTCCTAGCATCGTATCCCTTCCCTGCTCACAGGCAGGAGCTCTTACCATCCTATGCTCTTATCTAGATGAAACATCTTTCTTGGAAGCTTATTGGCAGAACTGGGTCCTATGGTGGAAGGCAGGCAAGGAGGAGAAGAGGGTTAGAAAGGTCTGCTGGGTTAGCCTTGCAGCAGTGCCAGTCACAAACGTGCTAACGTGGTTCAGTATTTACTTTTATAGCACTATGATACTGTACATTCTAACATAAAAGTTATTCACGTCTTACTATATTTTAGGATTCTTTCTTATGTGTCTACTACAATTCGCAATATGAAAAAAAGAGGTTTATACTGTCATGTTAGTGAAATTTGTGCATTTCAAAACACTAACTTTTTAGATTTGTGTTGTTTATATCAAATGTATGTAACTCGAAAATAATTGTTGACAAATGTGTTTCTTAACAGGATAAGAACGCATTCTACGTTAACTGAAAATATGCTTTCTCATAAAGTGCAATTTGAGGGTAGGATCATATCAAGGTAGTTATGATTTCATTAAACTTTTAAAACTATGATTATAAAATATATTCTGTTTTCAAAAAAAATAACAATAATGAGATTAATTAAATTAATCACAAACAAGCAAATTTAGAACAAACATTTCTATTTATTTATTTTTTTGTGGTATGTGCCCCTAGCGGGAACCGAACCTGGGACTCTGGTCCACAGGCCGATGCTCAACCGCTGAGCCAAACATTTTAGGTAATATATATCAATCTGTTATAAAAGTTATATGAAGCATGAACCTAAAGAAAAACATTTTAATTATAAATTATTTAAAATGTAATTTAAAAATTTCTTTCGAAAAGAAATGTAGGAGTGAATTTTAAAAAGGTATATATAACTACCAGAAGATTCTAAACCATTGAAAAATTAACCTTTATGTAAGCTGCTTTATATAATTTTATGATAATGACTTAAATTAACAATAGATTATTGATAGATGTAAGAGGATGACAAAGATGATTCTTAAATCTCTTTTCTCAGTCTTATAAACTTCCAGTAAAAGGTAAATGCTACTTGATCTTCTTTGTGTACACTAATGGTACAGTTTTTTATTTATTTATTTATTTATTTATTTATTTATTTATTTATTTATCTATTTATTTATTTATTTAATCCTCACCCAAGAACATTTTTTCCATTTTTTTGTTCAGATAGAGTGGGAGGGAGAGAGAGAGAGAGAAACATCGACGTGAAAGGGACACGTCGAGTGGTTGCCACCCACACGACCCAACCAGGGCTGAGGTACGTGCCCTTAGCAGGAACCGAACCCGGGTCTCTCAGGACCGCAGGCCAACACTCTAACCGCTGAGCCAAACCGGCCAGGGCCAGTTTTTTATTTTTAATTATCATGTTTGTTTAATGATTTTAAACTTTCTCAGATAAAGGATAATAAATATATATTCTTGAGTGGCTTCTTGCAAGCTCAACATTTTAAAAAGATCTTTTACTTTATCTTAAAAGTCTATATCAAATTAATAATCTGTATATTCATATCATATCAGTGTAAGATAAAGTTTTTTCTCCATTGAAATCTAACTAAAATCGACACTTCAGAAAGCTGTGGCATGGTTTCTCTGTTATTTTCCAATAACCCTTGCTCATTGTCATGAATTCAAGTGGGTTAATATTATCCCTCTGACCTAACAACTTTAGCTTATAACTTAATTTGAAAATTATCCTATTTGAAAATCTTTGATATTATTCTCTTTTTCTAGAAACAGCCGTGATGCTTGCAGAGAGCTGGTCGGGTTCTTTTTTATTCATGACCAGTCCCTTACAATTTATGAATATCGGCAATTTGGGAAAAAGAGGTATGCATGAGGCCTTGTTACAGCTCTCGAGCTGACTACTTCCGAGATAAGCCGAATAACTTCACATTTCTGTCATTTAACTTCTAGAACAAATGTGCTTCCTTTTATTCAAAAAAACATCTATAGTCATCAGCGTGGACGAAGAAAAGGAAAACAATACCACCTTGGTGATTTTTATATCGTAAGTGAAGTGTGTGCGGACAAAGGTTTTAATTCCAGATGTTGGATTTTGTGGGATCCTGTGGGGCTGGAGGAGTGGGGCTTCTCATCTTCAACTGATTCTCTCTCCTTCCTGAGTAGGGGCATTTATTTGTGTGAACGGCTCATGGTTGATGTTTCCCTGGAGGTTCTGCCTCTCAGGCTCAGTTTCCAGCGGTCTGAATCTAAGCATAGCTTTTATTCCCCATAACACTGCTTTCTGCCCCAACCCAGATCCCCAGTCTAAGCCCAGGAGAAATTGTCTCTTGGTGCTTTTAAAAGCTTTACAGGGCTGTGCCTTTGGGTAAGAAGCTACTTCAATAGAATTAGGAGTGATGGTTCACCTACAAAAGACTTATCTTCTGAAGAGGCATGGTTTTCTCCACACAGTGAGGTGGTTGGCTCCGGAGGTGTCATGTATCTGATAGCTTGTCCTTGAAGTGATTTTTCCACTTCATGCATCTCCTGGCATGTGTGTATTACAAGGGATTCCCTAGAATGGGTCAATCATAGATAATGTTACAATTTGTAAAGTGCTCCTACATTTTAAATCATCATGTTCACATATTATCTCATGATTATAATGCAGCACTAGCCACAGTGGTCATTCATGTAACAAATATATATTCACAAGCATTGGAGCGAGAATAGTGAGTGGGTAAGGCAGACCCATTTCCTTACCCACTCACTATTTTGTGGAGTTTAGTCTAATGGAAAACACTGTTAGATAGGAGGGGGTAATAATTTAGTTTTGTGAGGTCAAAGAAGACTTTCTGAAGAAAGTGCTATCTAAACTTCACCTAGAGTAGGTGTTAGCTAGGTGGGATGGGGAGGTAAGAGAGGGTAGGGAAAGTCTGTCTGGAGCGTACAGTTCAAGGTTGGTGTTGTCAAGAATGAGTCAGAGCTGATTAAGAACAGCCTCTGTTAAAATGTTGTCTAAAATGTGTTGGGGAGCCATGGCCAGGTGGCTCAGTTGGTTGGGGGTTTGATTCCTAGTCTGGGCATATGCCTGGGTTGCATGTGGGAGGCAACTGATTGGTGTTTCTCTCTCACATCGATGCTTCTCTCTCTCTCTCTCTCTCTAAAAATAAATTTAAAAAAACATATCCTCGGATGAGGATTAAAAATAAATAAACAAGTACAATGTGTTGGGGAGTCATTGAAAGATAAGTTGTGAACAAAATGTGGAGTGGTGATATCAGGTTAGTGATTTAGAAAGATCTGGTTACAATGTGGGGAACAGATAAAGACTAGGTATAAAGAACCAGATTGGCTTGAAATATATAAATTTAAGAAGGAGGTTATGGCAACCTGAACTAAGCAGGTGGCTATGTCTGTGAAGCTAATTAGAAAAAGAAGATTAAAATATATGTATATATATATATTTAAGAGGTAGAGTTAATAATCTGTAGTAACTGTTAGGTGAGAAATTGGTATGAGGAACAACTTTACATCTTAAACTGGGATTAAATAAAATCTACATAGTATGTTACTCAAGTCTACCTCTTGAGGTCAGGAGAAAATCAGCTCCAACTCCCATTTTACAACCTGCTGAAAGGATGTTTAATGCCTGTCCCCCGAGTGAAGTTACCTTTAGCTCTGCTGTCCCCAGTAATTTAGAGTGGTTTATGATTCATTCTATTCCTGTTCCATGTCACTTGAAGCAGATGTGGAACTCTGCTCTCTTCTGTGATTTCCATGAAAGAAAGGGGGAGGAGGATCCACCTGCAAACCATGTATATGATGCTGTGTGTATATGGCCGGCATCTTTTTTTGTTTTAATCCTCATTGGAGGATATTTTTCCATTGATTTTCAGATAGAGTGGAAGGGAGGGAGGGAGAGAGAGAAACATCAATGTGAGAGAGACACATCGATTGGTTGCCTCCTGCTTGACTCCAACCGTGGCTGGGGATTGAACTGCAACTGAGGTACATGCCCTTGACCAGAATCAAACCTGTGACTCTTTGGTCTGCAGGCTGACACTCTAACCGCTGAGCCGAACCACTGAAAGGGATATGGAGGGAGGTTAATATTGCTGCAGTGTTGGCAACTTACAATTTCTTATGAGATATTCTTATTCTTAAGAAATATATCCCTCAAGTGTTTCTCATGTTAAAGGCCCCCTTCTTCAATATTCCATTTTTGACTCCTTCCATCTCCTGCCTTCAGTACTCCATTTCTTTATGCAAAAATATTCTACCTTCTCCTTCTTTATTTTGGGGATGCTTTTCAGGTGTTACTCTGGAACTTATCTTTTCTATATGCCCCACCAAAGTCTTTTTCTAAACTCTTTCTAAAAGAAAACATAGTACCAGCTATTAAGATAATAGTCAAATAAATATTCACACATGCCTATGGACACACCTGCATAAAAAAGTGCACCCACATATGTTCATTTATATGCATGAATATATATGTAGCTTCGGATGCACTGACACAGATCACATGGATGTGCACACATGTACATATACACACATTTGCTTTTATATATATTCTTATACATATAACACTACTACACAGTTCACATAATCTCTTCAACTGCTTAATATTATAACTTGAAAAGAATTTATATACATTTCAAATAAAGGAGAAAGCAAGTTTAGCGCTACAAGTTTTCTAAAGTAAATGCTCCAGGAAAAGGGAGACGAGAGAAATCTCTTCCATTATTTTCAAGAGAGAAAATTAAACTTTTTATTTTAAATTTGTGTTTGTCCTCATTTGACCATATTTATATGAGTGACTTAGAAATTAAAATAATAAAAACTTTCAAAGTGGATTAAGGATTTTTGATGGGAATATTTTTATTGAAGCCTTTATGTTCTAATTAGGTTGTACGTTTATCAAAAAACCAGGTGAGAAAGTGTGATTGATCTATTACAGTTTATCAATTTGCAGTACATCTTGCTGTGGGTCAATAGCTCTGTCTAGGAATGTCATAATTTTGATTTGAGTAATTTATTCTTTCTAACATTCTTATAAAAATGAAATTCTTATATATATATTTTTACATGGATTATTAAATAGAAGATTATTCTGATTCAGAAATCGATTGAAAGATTAGGTCCTTTCTGTTCCTTTATTATTAGCTGAAGCCTGTCTAAATGGTCTCTAAAATGCTTTTTAAAAATCATTTTAAAAGTATACTTTGTCACATAATCAAAATTGAATATTTAAAATTAGTATTAGTTGTATCTTACTTCTTATAGACTTTTTAAGCTTTAAATAATTCATCTGTTATTTTTTTTAGGGTGCAAACTTGACATTTTTAAGTTCTGATCATCCCAGACTTCCAGAAAGCATAAAAGAAAACACACTACTTATACTACGAATCACAAATGTTGATCAGAAAGCTTTGGAAATTCTCAGGTATGTCAAATACACATTTGTCATTTTAAAGGTAAGAGAAAACTATTTATTTATTATCTTAAAATGAGATTTAACCCTAAAGCATTTTTACTTTAATTAGGTTTATATTCTTTAAAGCAAAGTGTACCTATATTTGTCTATGTTATGTGCTATCTTGCGCTCCATGTGTGGGAACATTTACAATCAAGAAAAAAACAAAAATGATCCATTTCATGTTAAAGATATTTTATTAATTTGCCTTTTGTTTTCTTAAATGCTAACAATGCAATACAATTTAAAAGATGGCCTACAGTACCATATTGATAATTTTCCCCACATTTTAAGGGTCCTACATGTTAATAGTGTTTATTGATTAATAATATGCATCATGTAAAAATAATGCTATGAATAAAAAATGCTTTTAAATGAATTTGAGTTGTTTTAATTACTTTTCATATGATATTGTGTGCCATTATTCTTGCTGAATATTTCTTAGTGGCAAATGCATGCTTTCTTATGAGTGTTTCTTGGTGATAAATATAATTCACTTTGTTTTATTATTCAAAACGAATGCATTTTTTTGGCTTTCTAAAATAATATTTTTACATTTACATTTATGCTTTGCAAAGTAAAACTACTTTTAAATTTAACAGATTTAATTATTTTAAAAGAACACTGAAATAGCTACAAAAATGAATATTATGCTTAAACATAGTTTTTGGAAGGTTTTAAGGATTTTAGACCTTGACTTAGAATATTTAATCCTTCTGGGGATTAAATCAGCAGGTGGAAGGTGGGATTTGATTAATTAATCTCTAGGCATTCTTCTGACTTTGATGAGCATTTCATTGAATCTAGAGCAGGGAAGAGCTTAGAGTTTCCTACTTAAGCTTATAAAATAGCATATGTTTTTATCACTGTGAACGTGTCAATTGCAGAACTAATTCCGTGGGACATGAGGGTGATATAACCAGTCAAGAAGCCAATGATAGGCTGATCTTTCAAGCCATTCAAGGTATGTATCATTTTACTATACTTTCTAGTATTTTACATTTTTAACAATTTTCTTTGTAAGTAGTAAACCAGTATTTTTCAGGTATTTCTTAGTTTTATGGCACTTAATTTATATTTCTTTTCTTTTTTTTTTGCTTTTATCATTAGTTAGAGCAGGAGGGAGAGAGGAAGGAAGAGAGAAAAACATCGACGTGAGAGAGACACATCGAGTGGTTGCCACCCACAGGACCCCAAGGGGGGCCAGGGACAAACTGCAACCTAGGAACGTGCCCGTGGCAAGAACCAAATCCGGGACTCCCCGGTCCACAGGCTGACACTCTAACCGCTGAGCCAAACCAGCCAGGGCTAATTTATATTTCTTATTTGCTTACCTTTTTGTAAGTTAATTATATATACATATATATGTTTGAAAATATTTTTAAGATTTTTCCTACTTTAATAATCCTGTCTAACTGAATAACTAGTACTCTCTAAATCATGAATTTAACAATTTTGGAAAGAACTAGATAATGTGGGTTTCATTCATCAACTGAATCAAATGTGGCTGATTTTGTAAAATAATGCGTGTCTTATGCATCAGGTGTTACCCTAAAGAGATCTGTGGTAGCCTAGTGTAAAAGAAAGATATGAGACTAGGAGCCGGATTTTTTGGACTCTGTCATTCAATAGACATATGACTGTGCTAATCTCTTGTACCTCTTTTTTCATCTCTAACGTGGGAAAAATAATCTGTTTTATTAACTTTTCATAGTTGTAGTATATGCAGGCTTTGACACTATCACGTGTTACAAATTTGATTTCTAGAGTCTAATCTTCAAATTACTACAGTATACCAGGCTCAGGTGATTCTTCTGTTGAATTTCATAGTCTAGAAGTAATTGTAGATCAACATATACTTTTTGAGTTTCAGTACATTCTGGTTTATCATTTAAAGACTGTCAGGGGATAAAAATACATTGAAAAGCTGTCTGGAATTGGTATTTGAAGTCTCAAATGTTCTTGTTGCCATTGTGAGTAAATTGTTTTTTGTTTTTTTTTAATCCTCCCCCGAGGACATTTTTTAGATATTTTGTTCAGACAGAGTGGGAGGGAGAGAGAGAGAGAGAAACATCAACACGAAGGGGACACATCGAGTGGTTGCCACCCACACAACCCAACCAGGGCTGGGGACAAACTGCAACCGAGGTATGCGGCCTTAGCGGGAACCAAACCCCGGTCTTTCCGTACCGCAGGCCAGCTCTCTAACTGCTGAGCCAAACCGGCCAGGGCATGTTTATTCTATCATGGTCAAAACAATATTTGTCGCTACAGTGCATTGTATTTAGTGACTACTTTTGTCAAGTTACAATTTGAAAATTGCAACTATTTTAGACATTTTGAACTGATAATTTTTGAATGACTTGTTTGGTATCAGTTTTGTAATTCAGTTGGTAACAGCAAAGAAGTAGGAAAGAGATGAAAAATGTGGGATTTTTAGATGAAGAGGATGCCTAGAAAGCAAAATTTTATTTGTAACATTTAGGTTATTTTCATGCTAATAAAGTGAAACATTGTTTTCCTATATTTAAAATATAACACTTTCACCACACAGTGGTGCTATAGTCCTGGTATATTTACATGTAATTTTATATATAACCTTCTTTATTAAAAGGATTCTATTTTCCCAAGTTTTTTGTGTGTGTGTCATTCATACATATGATTTGGTTGACATTTCTCACATCATTTACATCAACTTTAATTTTCTTCCATGAGAGACAATTGCAATTTGATACATTTGTGAATAGGAACTATTAGTTTCTGTCTTTCCTCTTCCTAACCAGATAAACTAAAAGAACAGCTACATAAAAAAGGTGTCCGCATTTTGACTGGATTGGGAAAATACTTTCGACAATTGGACAAGGAAGGAAATGGACTCTTAGCTAAAGCAGATTTTAAGCAAGCTCTAAAAGTCTTTCACTTAGAATTGTCTGAAGAGGTATGTACAACAGATACTCACTGTGGTGAATGATTTATTATTCTTAGGTAATATTCTTTACTTCTCAACTGAAATTTTAGTAGTGCATTTGTCTCCTTCTTTATGCTCTGTTATTAGTATTAAGCCATCAGGTGACAAGTCCTGTTGATTTTTTTTTATTTATATTTTTTTTCTTTATTGATTTTGAAGAGAGAGGAAGGGAAAGAGAGAGAGAGGAACATTGATGAGAGGGAACAGCATTTGGCCACCTCCTGCATGCCTCTCACTGGGGATTTGGCCCACGGCCTGGGCATGTGCACTGGCTGGGAATCAAACCCGTGACCTATTGCTGCATGGGTTGACGCTCAACCACTGAGCCACACTGGCCGGGCTCCTGTTGATTTTTAAAGTGTCAACATTCATTCCTCTAACATATATATACTAAGAGCATATTAACTAGCCATGTCCTAAGCTCTGAGAAGATATGCTTTGTACTCTAAGGTCTTCATAATAAAAGCATAGAAAGACACAAATGATTGCAAAACAATATGATATGTGTTAATTAGAGAACGCTTTCAGAACAAATGGGATACGCTCCAATCCAGACCACAGGGAAGGAGAGGGAAGATGCTGGCAGGATTCCTGGAGGAGGATATATCCAAGCAGAATTTTAGAGATGAGGAATTGAGCAGACGAGAAGGGAGGAGTGTGGGTCAGACAATGGATAGTTCACAGAAAGGAAAAGCACATGTGAAGGAACGGAGGGGGAGGGAGTGTGGCCTGTCTAGGAATTGAAAGTGGTTCACCTCCTCACTCCCCAACCCCAGGGCTTTCGCACATACTGTACCTCTCTGCTGGGAGTCATCTTTCTAGACCTTTGTTTGCATGGCTGGGTTTTCTCCTCAGGGCACAGCTTTCTCGACTGAGATACTCTGTCTAGAGGAGCACCCATCTGATCCCTGGTCTGCCCTCTACCATTTACCCATTTTCTTTTCTTTCTCTTTTTTTTTAAAATCCTCACCAGAGGATATTTTTACATTTATCTTCAGACAGAGTGGGAGGGAGAGAGAGAGAGAGAGAAACATCGATGTGAGAGAGACACATCGATTGGTTGTCACTTGCATGACCCCAACCTGGGCTGGGGATGAACTGCAACCGAGGTATGTGCCCTTGGCTGGAATCGAACCCAGGAATCTCTGGTTTGCAGGCCGATGCTCTAACCACTGAGCAAACTGTCCAGGGCCCATTTTATTTTCTTTATGCCACTTTTTAGGTATTGTCCGCTGTGCCTGCAGGTAGATTGTAAACCCTGTCAGGGCAGGGGACAGCATGCTTCTAGTTTCCTGCTGTAACATCTTTAATAAAACCTGGCTTACTCCAGTGCTGGATCAATGCATAATATGTACATTAGTTTAAACTGATAGATTGATGGAAGGAAGGAAAAGAGAAAATGGAAAGAAATAAGCTTAGGGAGTGTCTATTACATTAAAGCCTTGCATGCCCTGCTCAGAAGTTTGGGTTTCATTCTGAAAGTATATGAATTTGAAACAAACCTACCTCCAGAGTTTCAGGTAAAGCATCCTCTTCATTGTTCTCTTTTGCTTCAAACAGTCACAAGATATAGTGTATGTTGTGGAAGGAACACCTGAAATTGAATTTATGAGACATAGATCCAAGTCCTAGCCTTACTACTTGAATTGTGTGGTCTTGAATACATCTTTTCATTTTCGAATGTATAGGCTCTGTCTGGGCAATCCAGAGGTGATACCTACAGTCAGAGTGTATGAGATTTGAAGCTCAAATGAGAAAATTACATGGGACTACATGTTATTGACTGAACTCTGTACCAATATGACGTGTATATTACTGTTGTGACAGACCTGTCTTTTGTAGTTTTCACAACATTTAATTTTATGGTCCATCTACTGACACTACGGATCATCTAACTTGACCTCTTCCTTTTATTAAAAACAACAACAACAACAATAAAAAATTAGAAAACCGTGGTATCTTTATCCACAATGACAAAGGAAATTAAAGAAACTGAGATAAAACTAGAACCTAGATAATCTGGAGCATTAGTACATATTCTTCATCACCACACCACTTCCCTCTTTAGTTGATTTGCTCAACTTTTTTATCTTCAATTTTTTATTAATTTATTTTTGTTACAGATGTTTCTCCTTTTTGCCCCTAGACACCCTTCTCCCCATCCCACCCCCGACCCCCTAGCATTGTTGTCTGTGTCCATTGGTTATGCATATATGCATATACGTTCTCTGGTTTGCCTCATTCATACTCCCAGCCCCCCTTCTCTGAGGTTTGTCAGTCTGAACCATACTCCTTTCTATGTCTCTGGGTCTATTTCGTTATAAACTTTTATTATTAGATTTAGGAATAAAAACTAAAAAAATTATATAAGGCATCTAACATAGAACATATTATGAAAATATGAGTAAGCTTCCACTCTTTCTCATATATTTTACATAATAATTATTTTTTAAATTTATCTTTATTGTTGAAAGTATTATAGATGTCCCTCCTTTTTCTCCTATTAACTCCACACACCCTCCATCTTCACCACATTTTCTGTGTCCATTGGTTATACATATATGCATATAAATTCTTTGATTTATCTCTTCCCACCCACCCTGCCCCCTTCCCTCTGAGGTTCCACAGTCTGTTCTCCACTTCCATGTCTCTGGATCTGTTTTGTTTGTCAGTTTATTTTGTTCATTATTTTCTACAAATAAGTGAGATTATGTGATCTTTGTCTTTCTCTGACTGACTTATTTCGCTTAGCCTAATACTCTCCATGCTGTCTCAAATGGTAAGAGATCTTTCTTCCTTACAGCTGCATAGTATTCCATTGTGTGAATGTACCAAAGCGTTTTTATCCACTCATCTATTGATGGACACTTGGACAGTTTCCAGATCTTAGCTATTGTAAATAGTGCTGCTATGAACACAGCGGTGCATAAATTCTTTCTGATTGGTGTTTCAGGCTTTATAGGATATATTCCTAGAAGTGGGATCACTGGGTCAATTGTCACTTCCACTTATAATTTTTGAGGAAACACCATATTGTTTTCCACAGTGGCTGCACCAGTCTGCATTCCCACCAGCAGTGCACTAGGGTTCCTTTTTCTCCACACCCCTGCCAGCACTGATTGTTTGTTGATGGCGGCCATTCTGGCAGGTGAGGTGATACCTCATTGTCATTTTAATTTGCATCTCTTTGATGGCTTGTGACCTAGACCATTTTTTCATATGTCTCTTGGCCATTTGTATGTCCTCTTTGGAGAAGTATCTATTCAGGTCCTCTGCCCATTTTTAAATTTTAAATAATATTCCCTGTTTTTTCTCCCTGATGTCACTGGAGGCTTGCCATGCAATAATAAGCAAGATTAAGTGGCTATAAAATAAGAATATAAACAGAGGCATGGATATATAGATCAGACAGACAGCTGTCAGAGGGGAGAGGGGAGGGGGCACTGGATGAGAGAAGGTGAAAGGATCAGCCGAATGACATATATGCATAACCCAGAGCCACAGATGACAGTGAGGTGATAGCCAGAGGAAAGGGGGAGCAGTGGTAGGGTGGAGGTGTGCAAATGGGGTGGGGTAGGGGGAATGATGAGGACATCTGTAATAGTGCCAACGGTAAAAATAAAGTTAAAAAAATCTTTTTTTTTTTTTAATGCTTATATCTCACAGACCAATATCCTGGTCAGTGGGTTTGGGAGAGATTTTATTTTTTAAAAAAAATTTTAAATTTTCTTTTAATGAATTAATAAATTTTTATTACAGATGTTTCTTCTCCCCCCCAGATACACTCCTCCCTCTCCTGCCCCGCCCCTCTAAGCATTGTTGTCTATGTCCATTGGCTATGCATACATACATATAAGTTCTTTGGTTTATCTTATCCATCTCCCTTGCCCCCTCCTCTGAAATTTGTCAGTCTGAACTGTACTCCTTTCTATGTCTCTGGGTCCATTTTGTTCATCAGCTTTTTTTGTTTATTATATTCCACAAAAAAGTGAGAGCATCTGGTATTTGTCTTGCTCTGATTGGCTTATTTTGATTAGCATAATACTCTCGGCGACATGAAGGGCCTGGAGAGTATTATGCTAAGTGAAAAAAATCTTAATACATAGAATAACATATGGAAAGTACCCTTTCCTTTTAAAACTTGTATTTTCTAACTTCTATTGGTTATTTCTAGTTTATCATTATAATAAATATCTTTGTGCAATCATCTTTGCACACATAAGTGTGCACACACACAAACACAAAGAATATAAGAATCACCAGCCTGGGTCTAATTGTAGAACTAGTTTGTGGTAATGCATAGTTGTTCTCCCTGATAGGAAATAAAAAAAAAAAAAAATGGAACGTACCTGAAATAGCTTAATTTCCATAGAGATACTATCATTGAATTAACCTCATTTTTTTTTTTTCAGTTGAATTATCATTTTTCATTCTGTACCGTATCTTAAAAAGAGTTATATAAATTTGTGGTGACTTTGATAAGTCATTCAATTCTTGAAAATTATTTCTTTTAAGCCTCAAGTGTTATCTTTTAATTCTAGCATTAGAGTGGTTGGGTGAGCAATATTGTGATTTTGAACGACAAGCTCATTTTCACACTTAAAAGCTCATTTTATAGACACTTAAAGTATAGGTCATGAAGGCAGTCCAAAAAATTATGGGTTGTTGAGAATTGGGGGGAAGCAGGGCATGTTAAGATTTAGTTTTTCTTACTAAAGTTTTATTTGAAAAGTTAGGAGAAAGTAGAAGAGAATATTTTTTGAGGCTCTATTGTCACGGGAAAGGAGACCTGGCCCTGAGCAGTTCTGCCCTGGGCCGGCTGGTGGTGAGTTCTTAACTCCGCACAGGGGAGAATTGACAACACAAGTCAGGTGAGGATGTTAATAAACATTGAGAGGATATTTATTAAAGCCGGGGACGGTGAAACAAGGAAGGGCTTAGGACGGAAGAAGCAACAGGAGACTAGGCGGATCTGCTTTGGCTCCCTAGAAACTTACTGGGAAAAAGTGAGCCAAGGCAAGCTGCTGTCAGCTCACTGGAATCAGAGAAAAGGGGCCTTGGAGACAGGTTCAGGGGGTTAGCTGAGGACAGCTGCTGCTGCCCATTGCTCCCCTGGTTGCAGGTGTCCTTGAGACCCTTAGATTTTAGGAGATGCACACCTGTGGGGGAAGAGGAGGGGGCTGGAAAGGTAAGGTCGTTCTCCCAGGAGAGAGAGCTTTTGCTGGGTCCTTTGTTTTAAGGGTTTTTAAAGGCTGGGAGTCTAGGGGCAATCTCGATAGAATAGTCATCAACCTTTCCAGGTGTGCTCTAACAGGGTCATGGTCTCTACTGATGGGTCAGTGCCAGGGCAAGAGGTCATTAGTCAGTGCAGGTGGTCCTGGCATCACCTGCCTGGTTTTGCTGCTTTTCTGGGCCTGGAGCTGAAATCCAACTGAGGTCAAGATGTTATCTCTAGGAATTAAAGGTCAGGGTCTAAACCACATGCCCAGTGATCATTCATTCCCGGGGAGGAAAGGCCACCTTGAGGGCGAGATCCGGCACCAGTTTTGCCCATTGCTAGGCCCCTGGGCTCTCCACCCTGGGGACCTGTAAGTTGCTCAGCCAGCTGGTTCAGCTATTTGTTTCTGTTTCCCCTGTCCACTTGCCAAGGAATTTTTTTAGCTTCTTACTATCCTGTCTCACTATGATTTGTCAATCACCTTGTTGGATGTTTTATTTACATTCTCATTAAAAGCTAACAACTTGACTGAAACACTGAAAATATATTTACCTGAGTTTAAGAACACCTCATGCTGTAATTCGTTTGTTGCAGAAACTGTGGGAATAGAGCATTCTATTAAATAGTACATTTATCAAAGCAGTCGGTGGCAGTAGTAAAATGAACAAACTAGCATAAGGGATTTACTCAAAATAACACCTTTTTGTTGTAAATTATGGAATAATATTAGAGTCATTCAAATAGTATGCTTTATACTATCAAGCATGACTACTAGCAGAAATACAATTAGTGGAATGAATGCTATTGGAGGTATTCCAGAACCTGAATGATTATCCAATTGTCACAGATGTAATATGTAAAAATAATTAAATGTTCAAATCCAAGTAAACGGTAAGCACTTTCTATTTTTGTATAGAAAGGAACTGAATTTTAAAAGGCAATTTGTGTCTTATTGCTACTCCGAAATGGTTATTAACTTTACAGAACTGTCCACCACAGAGTTTCTTTAAATAGCTTTCTGAATGCCTTTGATTGAATTTATATACAATTTTTGGGGACTTTTCTTAAGTCTTCCACCTTGTTTAGGACTATAAAAGATGTAACAAAATATCATTATCTTCTGGTCATATACAATTTAAAGGTGTAAGAGTGGTCTCTGTGTGTTGTTTCTAGGATTTTGAGTCTTCATGGCTAATTCTGAACGACAGTGGTGATGGCAGGGTTGATTATGGAGAATTCAGACGTGCTGTTATAGGCGAAATGAATGAATACAGGAAATCATTTGTCCGAAAGGTAACTTTGTTAAATAATCTTTCAAATAGTTACTTTTAATTGTTAGGTTTTAAATTTTAGAACTTTAGTGAGTTACCATTGAAAATGTTCCAACTCCCGCCCTGGCCAGTTTGGCTCAGCGGTTTAAGCGTCGGCCTGCGGTCCAGAGAGACCCGGGTTCGGTTCCCACTAAGGGCACGTACTTCGGTTGCAGTTTGTCCCCGGCCCTGGTTGGTCGTGCGGGTGGCAGCCACTCGATGTGTCCCTTCACGTCGATGTTTCTCTCTCTCTCTCTCTCCCTTCCTCTCTCTCCCTCCCACTCTATCTGTACAAAAAATGGAAAAATATCCTCGAGTGAGGATAAAAAGAAAAAAAAGAAAATGTTCCAACTCCCTTTATCTGTAACGTATTTTGGTTTTAGTAAAACACAAATGAACACACACAAATACAACTCTCCTAGGACAAAGCTAAATAATTTATGCGCATGTTTTAGGAAAATATTATAAAAAGAAAATAAAATCTGAATCCGATTTTGGTTCACAAATTACTAGTTCCATAAATTGCTGGCTCCATAAATTACTAGCTATGCAACTATATGTGTTTTTAAATATCCTGAACCTCAGTTCTTTACCTCATAGAGTTGGTACAACGATTGAATGAGATAATACATGTAAATTTCTTCATGTTGTGGCTTTCTCATGGTCAGGGCTCAATACACGTTATCTTAGGATGACTAAGATGGTTCTCTGGTTTTTATAATATGCATGTTAAGTGTTAAAATGAAGATTAAAATGATCAAGTTACGTTGGAATTAAAAACAAGAGTACTGATTTTTATAGGAAACTACATATTACTTTAGTTCTGGTAGCGTTTTAGGACATACTTTTGAGCAAGTAGTTTTCTTTTTCTTTTGTTTATGTACCTAATATAAAATGTATATGTATCTAATACTGAACAAAACTATTGTATATAGAGTAGTATAGACAATTACATCAAGTATCAATCTCAAATAGAAAAATATCAAAATCTCTACTGGTCAGAAGACACAATAAAAACTTTAAGCCAAACAAATTATCCTCATAGTATTTATAAATTTACATACTTTTTGTACTTTACATATCCTGGTGATAGATTTGAGTATCAGAAGTAGAAACTGGAGAGTTGCCTCTTTTATATATCTTGGTACTGGGAACAGAAGACACAAGCAGAGTTATACAGTACTGTATTAGTTGGCTAGGGCTGCCTTATTAAGTGCCACAGATTGGGTGGCTTAAACAAAAGAAATCTATTATCTCAAAATTCTCAAGGCTAGATGTGCAGGATCAAGGTGTCAATAGATTTGGTTTCTCCTGAGGCCTCTCTCCTTGGCCTGTAATTGTCTTCTCCCTGGGTGTTCACATGGTCGTCCTTCAGTTTGTTTTGTTTTTGTACTAATCTCCTTTTTTATAAAGACACCAGTCATACTGGATTAGGGTCCACCCTAATGATTACATTTTAACTGAATTACCTCTCTGATTTTAGTGATGGAATATTTGGAAGTTCACTTTTCAATCAAAATAGTTCTGACAATTTGTCTTAGCCATTTATCAGTTTCATGTGAATCTTAAGCTGGAAGTTATCTGAGAGGTTTTTTTTTTTTTTAATCTAAATCTAGTGTGCAGAGGAGGAAAGCCAGGGCAACAGAGGTTACTTTATCAAAGTCAAGGTGCTAGAAAGTAATAGAACTAATATTTGAGTGCAGGTTACCTATCTCGACCCTGAAAAAGAAGATACTTACCAAGAAGGGCTCCTGGTAGCTAACTGGTCTCAAATTTATAAGTAGATCCTAGCCACTATTTCTAAACAGGGGCCTCCCACAAAGGCCATGCTTTGGGGAGAAGCCTGCTCTGAACTGCCTGCCTGCACTGTGTTCCTAGTGTATGATCCAGCTCCTTTAAAGGAGACCCTGGAGTTGGGTTTCAACCTGTAGGACTGCGGCTTTCCCTGTTCAGTCAGAGCTGTGCATCCATTCCTCATTAGCATCTTACTGACCAGTCAGGGCAGTACCATTCTGACCAATCAGGACAGTGCTTTTTGGACCAATCAAACTATGAGGATTTGGAGCCCTTATTTGCATGAGGATGGACCAGTTAGGGTCCAGAGGCAGGGACTTCTGTCTCTATAAGTCAGCTTTCCTCTGGTTCAGGAGGCCACTTTCTCTTTCTGTTGAAGACTGAAGACTATGTTTCCCCAGCTGGAGCTGAAATAGTGAAGACAGCTCCTCAGACCAGAGCAGGGTAGAGCAGGCAGACTAAAGCAGAACAAAGTGGAGCTGACCAGGTAGGAGCAGAGCTTTGTGAGGGGGCCTTACCCAAGGACCGCCTCTCCTGAGGACCACCTTGCAGCCATGCTGTTCCACAGCCTCTGTTTCACAATGGAGCTGTTTGCACTGGATAAAGTTCCCTTCACTGTAGCCCAAATTGGTGATTCCTGTTGGTGATGAATTGGTGCCAACGGACATCAGTTGACATCTTAAATCTTGTTCCAATACCCTTCTTCCTTGTATTCATGATGCTTCTTTCATATACCAGTTTTTAGTATTTTTATTATTTCAATTTTTGTTAATTCTCACCAGAGATATTTTTTTCCATTTTTTTTTTTTTTTATTAGAGAGAATAGAAGGGAGAGAGGGGGGTAGGTAGAGAGAGAGAGGGAGGGAGAGAGAGAGAAACATAGATACATCAACTGGTTGCCTCCCATATGCGCCCTGACTGGGCCTGAGGATCAAACCTGCAACCCAGGTGGCTGCCCTTGACTAGAAATTAAATCTGCAACCCTTCGGTGGGGGGGGCCAACACTCTAACCACTGAGCAACACTGACCAGGCCAGTTAATATTTTTAAATTGTTTTGTTTAGAGCCTATAAATAACTACTTCAGAATAAAAAAAAACTATGTTTTCATGTCTAATGATTTCATAGAAAAACATAACATTTCTTTTGTTATTTAGGCCTTTATGAAATTGGATTTCAACAAAACAGGCAGTGTGCCTATTATAGACATAAGAAAATGTTATTGTGCAAAGAAGCATCCTCAAGTAATTTCAGGTAATTATTATGAGTTAAAATGTATTAAATTTCTAAAATGTTAGTTAATAAAAGTAATACCTTCAAATAATATTAATTTATAATGTGGATCTGAGGCCATTAAGGGAGGAATAAACAATTATTTTTTAAACTAGAAAAGTGAGAGCTATTTGACCTTCATTTAAAAATTCTTAGGTCTGTATTTATTTTTTCTTCTGATGTTTATGTTCAAGATTGAACTTTTATTTCCTATTGAGGTAGTGAGGAATTTGAGTTAAAAAGAACAGAATAGATATAGAGAACAGATAATTACATGTGCAAGTTCTCTGAATCAGTTTTACCGAATGTGCTTATACTTGAAGGTTTAAGGCAGAATGAGGGAATGTTTTTCTCTAGGGATAGAGCTGTACATAAAATAAACATACATATGTCTATGAAAATTTAAGGATATAGCAAACATCTCAATGTAATTCTAGTGATTCATCACCAGCTATATTTCTTCTGGCTTTAATCTTTGCATAATTGCTTTACAAATGAATTTTTATTATGTAGAAAGCACTTGGCCATAGTAACTTCATTCTGTACATTACATTTCCCTCTATAGAGGTAGCAGTCACTATTATTTAATATACACATATATCTCAGTCCTTACTCTGGATTTTCATAGCTTGTGTGTACTATAATTACCTAACACTTTTTGAAGTTTTTTTCGTGAATGGTTCACTAAACTTATTGCTGTGTAGTTTGATTTTTATATTCAATAATTTGTTTTAGAGCTCTTTTTATGCTAATCCACATTGAGCCATCTTGTTTTTATCTGCTGCATATCATTCTTTTAAAAATCAGTATACTATAATTTACCTGGCCAGTCTCCTATTGGAAGACTTAATTTCTATTAATTGATGTGCCACCAACAAAGCAATGAGTATGCTTGTTTGGCCCATTTTCTGCTATTTTCTTGGGGTAATATCAAGACCTAGAATGTCTACATTTAAAGTTTTAACTGATACTTCCAAATTGTTTTGTAAGACGGCTATACCAGATTATACTGCCATTATTTGGGAGATTTATTTTACCTCAAATTTTTGCCAATTTAATAGGCTATAATTTTTTAAATTTGTATTTCCCTGGTTACTAGGGAGATTAAATATATTTTTGCATGTTTATTAACCATTTATAATTTATATGTAATGAATAATTTCTTTCTAATTCATAATTTTGATTATATACTGTTAAATACTATCGAATGCTATTATTCTAGAATTTTCCCTTTTTAATATTAAAAAAGATACACTAATTACTTTGGTTTATTACCATTATTAGCCCTTGTAAATAATTTATTTATTGCTTTTAATTGTGAAATGAAAAAAATTAAACAGGATTTGTTATGAAGATTAAAGCTAATGATCACTACTGGCTTCCTTTTTAAAAAATAATATATTTCAGGTCAAAGTAGCTCAATATGCTTATCATTGACTTTAAATGCACTACAATTGCCATAGAGAATTTCTTGTATGATTTAGTATATACATATTTTTTCCTTAAAATCCATGTCATTCTCTGCTTTTTCTCTTTAATTAGTCACACCAAAGATAAGAACAAGATAGTTTACGTATTTCTAAATTAGGTGCTTTCAACATCATGTATTTTTTCTCTTTGTCTTCTCCCCTCTAATAATCTTAATTAAATTGCTTAAGTAGCTTTAATTTTTTTTATGTGTCATTGAAATGTTGGTGAGGGTTTTGTTTTGTTGTTGGATAAACCTTTGTTAGTTTAAGAAATTACATACCTTGCCTTTGCATTCACATTGAAGAAAATAAGCTTGCAAACTAAACAATCTTAAAAAGAGGAAAAGCTGTTACTGTTGTTTTTTTTTTAAAGCACCCCTTTATTTATTTATTTATTTATTTATTTATTTATTATTTATTTTTTTATTGATTTTAGAGAGAGAGGAAGGGAGAGGGAGAGAGATAGAGACATAAGTGAGAGAGAACATTGATTGGCCACCTCCTGCATGCCCCCCACTGAGGATCGGGCCCACAACCTGGGCATGTGCCCTGACCAGGAATCGAACCGATGACCTCTTTGTGCATGGGTCGATGCTCAACCAGTGAGCCACACTGGCTGGGCGATTCTCTACAATTTAAATTAATTTCAAATTAAGGCTTTAGATCAGACAATTTAACTACAGAAAATATTTTCTTTTTTCTTTGTTTAAATAATGTATTTAAGAAAATACTTTCAGCTTTAATAGAAATGGAATTTTTCAAGTGTTTTTTTTTTTTGTGTAATAGTATTAACAATCTAATGTTATATATTAAAATACTAAGAAGCACAAAAGCGGTTAGTTAACAAATGATAGAAGATTGGTATTTTCTGGGTGGGGATATGAAGGAGGTATAACTTTCTTGAATATTTGAAATAAATTTCAATAAAAAATGTTTTTCTTAGAAAAAAAATAGTGTGAAAACTTATCTGTTTAAAAATATGGATGGTGCCCTGGCCTGTTTGGCTCAGCGGTTAGAGTGTCGGCCTGCGGTCCGGAGAGACCCGGGTTCGGTTCCTGCTAAGGGCACGTACTTCGGTTGCCGTTTGTCCCCGGCCCTGGTTGGTCGTGCGGTGGCAGCCACTCGATGTGTCTCTTCACATTGATGTTTCTCTCTCTCTCTCCCTTCCTCTCTCTCCCTCCCACTCTATCTGTACAAAAAAAAAAAAAAAAGGAAAAATATCCTCGGGTGAGGATAAAAAAAAATATATATGGATGGTAAACAGAGAGGGAAATATTTTCTGCCAACATGTATATATTTTTATATAGATTAGATCTTGATAAATTTATATCCTTGTCTAATGTTTAAATCACAAATTCACTTTATTGTTTTACATTACATCTCTGTATGGCATAATTATTGTCCTTGTTTATTCAACCTGTTTTTAAAAAATAATCACTCTTTTATTTCTAACATTTAATTTTAAAATACAGCAAGTATTTTGCTATTTATAGCAGATCTTATTCTTTTTGTTTGAATGAATTGTTACCTAAGTCCATTAGAGAACCTCTAGTGTTTGAAAAAGAGAGAGAACATTGATTGGCCATCTCCTGCATGCCCCCCACTGGGGACTGGGCCCACAACCTGGGCATGTGCCCTGACTGGGAATCTTAACGTAATTTTGCCTATCCTGTTTTATGTTTGCTATTTTAAAATACATGATTTTTATGAACTATACTTAAATAAAACAAATTTAAAAAGTCAAATGATTTATAGAGTCACACAGATTTTTCTAACCCATTTCTGCCTTTGTATATGGGCCTCTGTTTATTTTCTTTGAGTATTATCTGACCATCTGTAGCTTCCTTTCATCTCTTAAATCCTCTTTTCTTATTAAAAAATTCATGAGTGTCTCTTTTCCTGTTCTGGTCTAAGATCCTGAGAGTAGATCAGTGCAAGGAGGGTAGGGAGTGCAGAGGGTGGCGAATTAGTGAGAAGAGTTTGTGATGCAGGACCTACATTCCCGGTGGTCAGTGAAAGCTTCCCAAGAAAATGGTATTTAAGCTGAGATCTGTCTTCCTCCAACTGACCTTAACATGATCAAATTTACTTATTTAAATAGCTTATTGTTCTCTTTCTGAATTAAAAAAAAAAAGTCAAATTACTTTTAAAAAGGATAAATTAGGTATTTTGTGTTCTCTCTTTAAAAAAGAAAACCTAGCCTGGCTGGTGTGGCTCAGTGGTTGAGCATCGACCCGTGCACCAAGGGGTCGCTGGTTCAATTCCCAGTCAGGGCACATGCCCAGGTTGTGGACCCAATCCCCAGTGGGGAGCATGCAGGAGGTGGCCAATTGATGTTCTCTCTCATCGATGTTTCTGTCTGTCCCTCTCCCTTCCTCTCTATCTAAAATCAATAAAGAAAAAATAAAATAAAATAAAACCTAAAGAATTACAATTTTTTAAATATATGATTCTCAATAACATCTTCTTATAGGATAAAGTCAATCATATTTAATGTAACCCAATGGAAACAGCCTACTTAATGTCCGAGATTAAAATAGAATGATTTAATCAAGTGGAAGTTCTTCTGCAAACATTTTCATAGGCCTTTGATGATCTTTGTTTGCAGTAATATTTCTAGCTGCTGTTATGAGTAACTGATTCACAAAATAACTAATGCCTGAATGGAGAGATGCCTTTCATACATTGCATCACTGTGCTAACAGCATGTAAATCTTTGAAATAATTTTTTTCTTCTTTCCTTATTTCTAATGGAAATGAATCTGAGTTCTTTAACACATTAAGAAATACATTAAGAATATCTACAGTTGTAACTGTTATTTTGCATATACATGTAGGATGTACCTTATCAGAAGTTTAAAAGATGCCTCCAGTGTGTGTTACAGTCATTACCATTAAATTCTAGTTCATGTAAGAAAATGTTTACATAAATTGGAGAGTAATTTGACATAGATTTCAAATTGTTGAAAAGATTTTACAAGGTGATTAAATGTTTCTTTACCATTATCAGTCATTTTCCTGTACTTTTATGGAGATTGTTACATAGTCAGTACTATTTTGCAGGTCATTCCACAGAGGAAGAAATCAAATTATCTTTTCTAGAAACACTAAAAGATGCCTGCAGCAAGTCCGATGAAGTGTCATATGGGGAATTTGAAGATTACTATGAAGGTCTAAGTATTGGAGTAGTAGATGATGAAGATTATGTTACTATTTTACGTACTCCATGGGGGATTTAGTTTTCTAAAATTAGCCGTAAGCATTTTTAAGGAGATGTGAATTCAATGTAAAGTATGATCAAACACTGGAATACATTTTTCTGAAGCTCTATCCTGTTCTCTTTTAATCAAGAAAGTTGAGTCTGGAGAGAGAAGTATTCAGAAAGACAGATGTAGGGGTATGTGTATGTTTATGAGGTATGAGTGCTCATGTATGTATATGTTTGAAAAGATATGTGTTTTTATTTATTACTTATCTTGAATATATTTCAGAGGTATTTTTTAAAAATTAGCCTTCATAGAAAAATAACATCTGTATCAAACTATATGAGATCATCTATATAGTAACCAAGTTTCTAGTCCATTTTTTTTCTTGCTATTCATTTCCCCAAATAAAATTGCTACTATTCTCAATTTGATGCATTGAAATTGGGCTCAGAGTGTACCAGACTAAAATAGTTCAACTTGTTTTAAACATATGGAAATGTTAAAGGAATTAAAGGGTATGCGAGAGAAATTTTCCATGTAGTGTGATTATGGATGTTTTCTGTAACATAAATATTTTGAATGATGGAGGCCTTGAATACATCTTTTTAGCATAGAACTGTATTCCTCTATATCCTTTGCAACATTTCAAAAAATGTGATGTGTGTAAACTAAATAAATTCATAGTAGTACCTTTTAAAGAGTTAAGCAGGTACCAAAACTCACTACTAAAATATCAGAAAGAATCTATAATAATTTTAGTGTTATTTTCACTAGCTAAATTATTTATTCCAATTTGATTATTAAAATTAAAACAATGTGCTGGAAGACGTTTTGCAGATATAAGTCTTTAACACAGTTTCTGAGTCACATTTTTTACTTGGAAAAATTTATCCAACTATAGTCATGTTAAACTCTGTGAGTAGTTCTCATATTAAAATGACTAAAAATACTGTGTGTGCTCAGTATGCACGTAAGTATTTTTCATTGATAAAATTGTATTTAGTTCTCCTTAACAAATCTATTCTCAATATTGTTATGTCACATTTTCCTGTGACTATAATCAGAAAATGTACAGGCTGTCATATTGGGAAAAAAAGGGGGGAAAGATTTTTTAGGGGTTTAACATATTAATATGATAGCATACATTTAAATAAAACTCCACCCTCTTAGTGCAAATATTCATATGTGGTCATCTGTAGGAAGTTTATTTAAAGGATGTAACTTTTTTGTAGTTAGTTTCTTGTCTCACACAGTGTTTTTCCATGTAGAGTCAGAAAATACATATTCAATGTTATCTGGTGTGTTTTGTTAAATTGTAATTGGTGGTGCAAAATCACTCTGTTTGCCTCACTGTCTGTATTCTTCTTTGACGTTTGTATAATAAAATCTATTATTAATATTCAATTCACTAGAAGAGCATCTAATAGAAATTATATTTTCAAACATCCAAAACATAATAATTGACTTTTGAAATTCTATTCTTAATAGTCTTCAGGATTCTAAAATATCTCTTGATTACCTTTTAAACAATAAGTTATATGTTGTAATGATGTTTCATGAATTTTATAATTGAGTATATTTTATCATTATCTAGATCTTTAAAAGGTAGTTACTTGTTTTGGTATAGAATTGCCTTCCCAGTTAACAGTACTATTTATTGCATTCAATATATTGATGTGCTTTACTATATCTATTCTTATAAATAGAATTTTACAGAATTTTCAGGAAAAATCCAGATTTTTATCAGAAAACGGATTTTCTTTAGGAATTTTTAGCTATATTTAATTAGGAAAAATATACATTTGCGTGATGGAGCAATTATAGCATAGGCAAAAGTGTATGTTCCTGTTTTAAATTTTATAGTGTATACAAATGTATTGCTTCATGAAGTGGCCACGGGGGAGAATCACTTAGAATAATTCATAATTTTGATACAGACATAAAATACATTTTATTAATTACTTTGGATTTCCAGTCAGTCTAAGTTGCTGTCAGTTACTACAGGAGAAAATTCACAATGAGCTATGCCTACTGCAGATTAACATGACTTTGTGGGATTGTATATAGTGTTTGCAAAAATAACATATGTACTGTGAAGAACTATAACCACTGTTAGGTTACCAGTGAGGGCAAACACTTATAGTGAATGTACTTAAAGAAGCCTACATAATTCAAGCCAAGCAAGAGAAAAGAGGATCCAGTGGGTTGACAGGGATGTACTAGTATCCGGTAACGAGAAACTCATGTCATAGCCTTCCATTTTTATGTTATGGTTATACAAACTTATAAAGGAAAACTGATTTATTGGATGGATTCATATATAAAGAATACATGCCCCATATTAGAGCCACTGTTCATTTGATTATTCCTTCATTGATTTTCAGTCATTCCTACTTACTGTGTAGCACTACTCACGCAACTGCCCAAGGCTGAGATAGTCTAGAATTTTCTCACACCCATGTAGCCCACTCAAGTCTTTTGATTTATTTCTTTTGAATCTGCCCCTTCACTGTTCTCAATGCTTATGCCCTTGCTCAAGCTCTCATCACTTCTCATGTGTGTTCACCCCTCATCAGTCTGCCTCCTCCCAATCCTACTTCGGTCCATCCTACACATTGCTGTTGGAGTGATCTTTCGAAAATGTGCATTACTTCCATGATTATAATTCTCCCGTGCTTTCTCCTATCTTTTAGAAAAGTCTGAACTCTGTACCTTAACACATAAAACGTAAACAATCTTATTATCCTAAATTTATTTTTCTGTACTCAGCTCTGGTGAGCTTCTCATGGGCAGTGGTGGTGGGGACTCCCGGAGACAGACGGCTAGGATTTTGCTGAGCTCACACAGCAGGCTGTATAATCCCTCCGAGCCTCCTTGCTAAGACCCTCGTTTTAATAAATATCTGTCTGTGTGAGAAAATTTGGTCTGAAATTCATTCCATTTTAACTGGGTAGCGAGGTTAGGAGAAGCAGTGAATTCTCACATACCTTAAAGATTTTAGTGGGAGATCACAGTTAATTACCGTAAAGAACCCTTTGCACAATTAAATTACTCTTGATTTAGTTGTCAGTTCACAGTTTTCATTCTCTGTCAGATGCTGCAGTCATCGTCACAGACCCCAAAATGGTATGATAGAGGGCCCAAAGTAGAAGATTAAAAAATTCAAATACCCCTCATCCTCATTGGTATAACACAGGCATAAAATAGGCACCGTGGAACATGGAAGGACTGTAAGTAGCATTCCAGGGGAATAATAATTCACTACTCTGAAAGTATATGATTTATTAAAGTATTATTGAGATTACAACAAAAGTGTCCTACATAAAAACAAACAGCAAAGATTTTGGAGATTTAATTGTATAGATTTTAAGAATGTATTAATCAAAAACACCTTTTCAGATTTTTCTCTTCAATAACACATGTGTAAGAATATTTGTATTGTTTTTGGATATCCCAGCAAAGCAATTTGGAAGGATTTGAGTTATAAAATTACCTATCTGGTGACAAATTTTATTCAATGAGAAAACAAGAGCCATGTTGTGTTAAGTATTCTTTTTATTGAGTTAGAATGGAATTTCTGAGCCATGACTGAATGAGTGTAGATATAAATAAAAAGATTCTGACCTCTGCAACCCCACTGAGTTTCCTGAGATGTTCAGATTATGATAAAGCCAATATGAAAAAAAAAAAACTAATTCAAGGCAATCACTATGTGCTTGTGTCACTTAGGAAAGCTGCTTCTCTAGTATTTGAAAAGACTCATATTGAAGAAATTTTAAGAAAATATATGTTGTCAAGGAGAAGTAATTTGGAGAAAGTATTCAGGCAGCCACTCCATCAAGAAAAAATATGTACTTATAGTAATATTTTAATATAAATGATGTAGAAAGAGCATAAGCTTTAAAGTCTCTGAATACTGATTTCAAACTTGAGCTCTGCTACAAATTAGCTCTATGACTTTGGGAAGCTATTTAATGTCATGGAGACTACTTCGTCTAAAGGTTGATATGAGGATTGAAAATAGGCAATATCAGTATAGATGTGGACGTACTTATAGATCATGATATATATCCAGATATATAGTACTTATATAGTCTAGCAGACAAGTATAGCTCAGCATACATTTATCTCCTTTTAATAAAAAGTTTTAAAAAACAATAAAAATATTAATTAAAAAATTTCCTTATATTTTTCTTGATTAATCTCAAATGAAAACCATAAGAGTCACTTTTTTGTTTGTTTTGTTTTATCCTCACCCAAGGACATTTTTGCATTTATCTTCATATAGAGCGGGAGGGAGAGAGGGAGGAAGAGAGAGAGGGAAACATCGATGTGAGGGAGACACATCGACTGGTTGCCACCCACACGACATCAACCAGGGCTGGGAACAAACTGCAACCGAGGTACATGCCCTTAGCAGGAACCGAACCCCAGACTTTCTAGTCCTCAGGCCGACGCTCTCACCGCTGAGCCAAACCGGCCAGGGCAAGAGCTATTTTTTATTAAAGATGCATAATTTACTGGGTAGGAATAATTTGCATGTCACTGTCCTGAATCTAATAAACTTATTCCTTTCCTTCATCAGAGCCCACGAAGGAAAATCCAAATCTTGTTTTAAGGCTAACAACTCGTTTCCTTCAATGTGTATAGCAAAGTGACAGGTTACAAAGGTGGTTAGTAACAAAATTTATTGTTACTGAAATTAATTAGAAGATGATGCATGTTGAAGACTAATTTTATACCTGTGGAGACTAGACAACATTCTTAATATTTGAGGTATATACACCAAAACAATGGGTGGCCTTAAACCCCGTGAAATATTGTGTTTTCTAGAGATGGCCGCAACAGTATCTCTCTTCCTATATAATGTTCTTGCATAGTGAACTTGACTTCACATCGAGAGGCGGGGTCCATACCCCTTCTGCTTGTTTTTAACAATAGATTGTGGCCGCAGTGATGCTGTGTTACATTTCAGACTAGGCCACAGACAGCCTCCTCTACCTTCTTTGTTGGAATACTTGAACCTCCAAGTT